TGAAATATGTCTCTTCTGTCAACAGTTTTGTCTCGTCCAAGGAAGTGTGGGATCGATACCGCAAAATCAAGGGTGATTATCATGCTTTTGTGATTCCTCTTTTCCATTCTCCTACAATCTCGCTTAGAGATGTGGCTAATGTCCTTGGAGAGCAGTTCCACAATGCTTCTAGCTCCGATAACTACCGGGCAGAATTTAGACAATTTAAGTCTCGTGCAGAATGCCATCGTATTAGTATGTCTGGAGGAAATACTGCCGGATACAACAAGCCTTTTACAATGCACGAACTTAGGTTGGCTCTTAGTCTGAAGAGGCAGTCGGCCCCTGGCCCTGACAGGATTCATTACGAGATGATTCGTCAGCTGGCCCCAAAATCTCTGGAAACTTTGCTCTGGTTTTTTAATCATTTGTGGACGCAAGCATGCTTTCCCCAAGCCTGGAAGCAGGCCCATGTTATCCCACTGTTGAAACCTGGTAAAGACTCGGTCAGTTCCATCCAGCTACCGCCCTATTGCACTTACGAGCAGTCTTGGCAAAATATTTGAGCGGATGATTAATAGGAGACTGGTGTATTTTCTTGAAATGCAAGGTTTCTTCGATCGGAACCAGTGTGGTTTTCGTGGAGGGCGGTCAACTGTTGACCACCTAGTGCGCCTGGAAACGACTATACGTAACGCTTTTGTAAACAGGCAGCACTGCGTGTCAGTCTTCTTTGACTTGGAGAAGGCGTACGACACGGCATGGCGGTATGGAATACTTAGGGACCTGTTCGCATGTGGTTTACGTGGTCGCATGCTTTGTGTTATAAAAAGCTTTCTGTCTGGCCGAACATTCAAAGTTAGACTAGGTGCCACATATTCAGACCTTTTTATTCAGGAGAATGGGGTGCCACAAGGGGGGGTCTTGAGCGTTACATTATTTGCTGTGAAGATCAACTCTCTTTCGAAGGTAATACCACGCACTGTGTCTTACTCCTTGTACGTTGATGACGTTCAAATATCGGTTTCTTCTTGCAATCTCTCTAGCTGTGAACGCCAGCTGCAGCTCGCAATAAATAAAATGAGTAAGTGGGCCGACGAAAGTGGTTTTCGGTTCTCACCTGAGAAGACTGTGTGCGTACCATTCTCTCTAAAACGTGGAATAACGCTGGATCCATCATTAGAAATCAATAGAACTCCCATAAGTATCCGAAATGAGCACAAGTTCTTAGGACTCATTTTTGATAGGAAGCTAAATTTTATTTCACATTTGAAACAGCTAAAACTTAAATGCCTAAGGGCCGCTAATATCCTTAAAGTCTTGTCACACAGGTCATGGGGATCTGACAGGAAGTGTCTGCTGCACCTGTATAACTCCCTCGTCAGGTCCCACCTTGATTATGGAGCAGTAGTTTACGGATCGGCAAGGTCATCGGCACTCAAGATGTTGGATCCTGTTCACCACCTTGGCCTTTGACTTGCCACAGGGGCTTTTCGGACATCACCAGTCCTCAGTTTATATGTAGAGACAAATCAGATGTCGCTGGAAAAAAGACGGCAATACATTAGCTTGATTTACACCTACAAAGTCCTGTCCGACCCTGACCATCCAACATACCGCTGTGTGCATGACTCTAGTTCTTCCCTTATTTTTCAAAATAAGCCTAGTATTGTACGGCCGCTCAGTCTTCGTCTTAAGGACATCCGTCAATCTCTTTGTCTCGAACTGAATGACATAAGCTTACTCAAAAGGACCGACACTGTTGCGCCTTGGGACCTGCTGCCAATCAGCTGTGATTGGTGTTTCACCAGGTTCAACAAACACAACATTTCTTCAATAATCCTCCAGCGGGAGTTTCATGAGGTACTAAAAAAATACAGAGATTATTCACAGTTTTATACCGACGGGGCAAAGACCCCCTCTTTTGTTGGATCTGCTGTGTACTCTGAATCATTTACGAGCGTTCAGCGGTTAAACAGTGTTGCTAGTATATTCACTGCAGAACTTCAAAGTGTATTAACAACAGTGGACTATATTATAGAAAGCCATACAATGAAGGCAGTCGTGTTTGTTGATTCTCAAAGTGTTATAACTGCAATCAGCTCTGTAAAGGATTCAAAGCATAATCTCGTCCAGCTTGTGCGTGCAAAAATAAATAAGGGCCTACAAAAGGGGCATGACATCATATTTTGCTGGGTACCCAGCCACGTTGGGCTCAGTGGCAATGAGAAGGCTGACAGGCTTGCGGCCTCTTCCAAAAACTTGCCGGAAACACGTCTGCAGCTACCACATCAAGACCTGAAACCTATTTTTAGGGCAGCAATTTTCCTAAAATGGCAAACAGAATGGAATCAACAGCATGACAATAAGCTGCACTCCATCAAGCCTGTTTTAGGGATATGGGAGAGCTCTTCCCATAAAACCCGGTCTCGTGAGATATTGCTGTGTCGCTTGAGGCTTGGTCATTCTTATGCCACCCATGCTTACCTGTTGCATGGGGCAGATCCACCTTTTTGCGAACACTGTGGTGAGATCGTGACGGTCTGGCATATTCTTGGTCTCTGCTCTGCCCTTGCACAAGAAAGACGCTCCTGTTTTCCGGAATTCGCAATGTATTGTATTCCATTTCATCCTGCACTAGTGCTTAGCGAGCAGCCGATTATTCCTTTTGAACGTGTTGTTATGTTCCTTGAGAAAACAGGTTTTTTGCATAAGTTCTAGCTTTTCCAACATGCACTTTCTATAGTATGTGATCACCACAGGTAATTAGGTTCTTCTCAGCATTTTGTCTTCTGTCAGAGTATCTGACTTTTTACTTCTACATTAAATAACACCCTTTGCTTTGCATAAATATTTAAGTTTGGCGCAGTATGGCCACGTCGCTGTTGCGCCAGAAAGCCCCTAATCAATCAATCAATCAATCAACAGTAATCCGGAACCGAACCCAATTTTCCCGCGATGTCTGGTTACCGTTCTCGACAAACATCCAAAATCATATAAAAAAAGAGGAACATTTTATTTATTACTATGATATTATAATATTACAACAATAGGGAGTTTTAGTAGATAGTTTTCAAAGGCCTGCTACCGCTACGAGCGCGCGCTTCAGAGCATGCATCGAAGTGGCAGCGCGAGCTACCGCTATGGTTAGCGTGGCCTGAAAACGCGATCTACTAAAACTCTCTATTATTGTGTGCACTTTGTGGAATTTAGTGAATATAATATCACAAAAAGTTGAAACACTCATCAGCGTGATGTGGCAACCATGGCAACGCTCCAAATGTTTGCAAACTTTTCCAAATCTTCAGATTCGGATAAAGACTTGTCCCATCACTACTTTTGCCCCTTTCACTGTTTTTCTTTTTTTTTTTTTCTTTTTTTTTTTTTTAGAGGTTATTTTGTGCCAGTAATTTAGCAAGGGTGTGGTGTGGTTGCATTCAATAGAGAGTTTTAGTAGATTGTTCCTATGACTTCATTTCCACCCGCATTGCGTGACCGTGCTACAGCCATTGCTTTCTAAGCAAAAAATACTTTTTTTTTTTAATTTTACACGAGTTGTTTTGGAAGTGGCAGGAGTGAGCTCAAAATGCAAAATAAGTATAGGAGTACTTGGGAATAGCAGGGGGTGGCAGTGAAAGGGTTCCTTTTTTTTTGCGTTTATTTTTTCTCCTTACCCATCTAAGGGGCAACACTGCTTGTAGAGCTTTTTTTTATGTAACTTGTGATCCCATTCAATTGAAATTTACATAGCTCATTTGTCTTAGCATGTTGACTACAAATATGTACTTGGCTTTGACATAGCCTAAACAGTTTTGTTAATATTGAAAGTTATTTTCCAAAATTATCAGAAGGATTGAGACAAATTGAAATACTGAAATTGTAAAATTAGCCTATCTCTGTTGACAAAAAGGTCTATGGAATTCAACAAGGTATAAATGAAAGGTTTAAGGTGATTTATAGGTTTTATCTTTTTAAACAGCTTCTAAATTATTGATGGCAAGATGTACAAAAGCCATCTAAAAAAACTGATGCCATATTTAACACTTGAAATAGCTTGCAGATGCACCTACCAGAGATAAAAAAAATATTGAAGATATGATATGTGCAAGTGGAGATATGGCTTCCATAAAGTAGTAGTGTGTAAATAGTAGCTTATTCTGAAAAATTGGTAAAAAGAAATGCATAGACCTATTTTAATGTGTTTTCACATCAATATTTTAAGACAAAAAAATTTATTTTCTCGAAAATACTTAAGGACGAAATAAAAATTACATGGCAGTAAAAAAAAAAAAAAAAATTTGAAAAGTGTGTTTGGTATTTTTTTTCCTAAAGAGCAGCATCTCCCCTTAACCGTGCACAGTGAAATTTTACAAAAGGCACATTCACATCACAACCTAGTTCCTACCGGGAATCACAAAGCACCCATCGAGGCAGCGGCGCACTATCTCTTTTAACGTTGAAATTGAATGATGCAGGAAACATACACAGATTGGAAACATTCCAAGACTACCCAACAAATGGCGCCAGTGTGTTCTCTCCTCAATAGCGGATACACACAGTGGCTGCAAAATCGACCACACTTAAAAGCAAAATCTGTGAACCAGCCATTTTGTTTGTTAGTTCACAGGCACATATTTGTGCACACATTGGGCGTGAAGGGGTAGAGCCCATCGCACACGCTATGCTCAGCAGCGACGATGCTTCCGGCGTCTCGGTACCCATGAGCATCGTTGCCGGTCTACCGAAATCGCGGGGAACGGTTTTCCGTCTTTTAGAAACGTTAAAAGCTCTCCGCGACAGAGCAAGGCGAAATTGCCTAAGCTTCCCAATGCTACATCCGAGGCTTCGGTGAGTGCATTTCCTATTTGCGACAGTTGCCAGTTGTACTCCAGGTGATGCACTTGAATACGCTCGTATGCAAGTGTGTGAACCAGCCTCGGGCGTCATTTAGCAACCATACTTTGGGGAACCCAGTATCACGTCCAGTGCCCTCAAGCCCCCTCCTTCCTTACTGCTCACAGGCAAGCACGCCTCAGCGCGGCCCTGCGGCACTGCTCTGCTCCCCGCTGTCCCTGCTGACGGCAGCCCTGATGCTGTGCGGGATAGCCCCCAAGACGACGTCGCGCGTCACAGCCTGCCTCCAGCTACTCACCGACGTGGCCGTGGACTTTGCCGTCTACACGTTCTCCTTCGTCGTGTTCCACGTCATCTGGGACGACTGGGTCGGCTGAGGGCAGCACCTGCGGCCGAGTTGCCACCGGTTTCGTCGCAGGGGCGAACTTGCACTTGCGGCCGTGCGCCTGCCTTCAATCGAACGACCCATCGACGTGCGTCGGGGCGGCAAGTCGCGAGTGCAGCCTTCTTGCGGAGGACACGTCGGCCTTGGGGCGTGGACGCCGACCTCCGGCGGGAGGCACGGTTTTCGAGAGAGGGGTCCCCAAGAGTGGTCCGGCGCATCGAAAGAGCGGTTGCAATCTTTTTTCCTCGCATCCAGGCGTCCTGAGGTGTGTGTGTGCACCAAGTGTGTGCCATGGCAGAGGAAACGGACTAGAAGAGCAGGTTGACAACCCCCAACCATTTCGTTGACCCGTACTAGTGCATCGACCCAACACCTTGCTTGTTTCCTCTTTTCCCGAAAGGAACATTTGGTGCATTCAATTTTCGAGGCCCGTTAGTAGCCTTTGAGTAGTGGTGCTGCAATCTGAAGTCTTACTGCGGAAACGTACGGGTCTTAGATCTTTACCCTTCCTATGTGCGAGAAATCTTGCAGGAGCGGAGCGGAAGTCATATGTGCCTCCTCGGGTTTTGTGCAAGAATATGCCCTTGGCGCGACTTGCAGAAAGCATGTGGGCAGGATTCGGATACCCCAAAAAGACTTGGATGGTGCAGAACGGGCAACGGTGGGGTGAGTGATGAGGACAAAAGGCTACAGGGACTGTGATTTTTAAACACTCATTGGCCGCGTTAATGTACATTTGTCCCAGTTTTATCAGTGCTTCTTCGCTTTCTGGTTGCTTGGCCACGAACGTCTTTTGGTTCCAGTTTGTCGGACGAGCCTTTGGATTCTTTCAATTGTGTTCTTTGCACTATTTATTGACTGCACAAAAAGAGGCAGCTCTCGAAGTCTGGTGGACCCACGTGAACCCGGGGGATTTCATCCCCTCTGCTCTTTTTGAAATAAGCAGGGGGTGAAGAAACTTCTAGACATGTACAGCCTTGTAAAAAAAAAGTAAAGCTTCCTAGGAACAACAAATGCTGGCTTGTTCTCTTTCTTTGCTTTACCTGCAGTTTTCCTTACACAATTAGCTGCAGTGAGGGTGTTGTGAAAGGCACAAAATCAATAACATGTGTATAAATAGTTGGTGCAATGTGTGCAATTTATCTTTTCACTTTTTTTTTTTTTAACAGCCTTGTTTTTTAAGGTGCTCAGCCACGAGCTACCGCAATAGTTTAGTTTCCAGCCAGGCTATACCTATGCACGACCAAACGTCCGACTGGCCGTACGACGCATCAGAAAGGCTGCCAAACCAAATCGGGTGCCTGTCAATTGCTGCATTGTGTGCATTCTGTGAGTGTTTGGTCATGCATGTGTAAGGTCCAACCGGGCCCCCAGTGGCAAACGGCGTCCTCCCGCCACCTGTTCGGTAGCACGAGGATGCCATTTCTCGGTAATTGAAAAGCTGGGAGCAGCTGTCCAGGAATGGGTGTGAGGCACTTCCAAAAAGTGGTTTCAGCAGGCCATGAAGAGGGAGGCTGCCACGCAAAGCAGGGGATTCGACTCCGGGGGGAGTCTGTCGAGAAGGTAGACCATATGTACCCACCTCCAAGTGACTGGTTTCCGCAGCGGAAAAAATAATTGTTAATCTAAAGTGGTCGAGGCATATTTCGATGCAGGTGTCACTACATTTCCAATGGTACAAGAGAGGGTGAAGGTGGTGTCTAGTAGACATACTGTTCAGTGTCTCAATCCTAGCAAATCTCTTGCGAAGCAGCTGCTGCCCCACCCCGCAGCAGCTTGCACGAGCGGTCTCGGCAATGACCCCTTACCACTATCACTACGACTTCTGCACCATCAGTCTCATGCATGCCCACTAGTGTGCTAACAAAAAGAGGAAGTTTAGGCTAGTATAATTAATTTTTGGGCTAACAAATAATGTGAACTAAGCCATCACAAAATTTTATGGCATCATTTTCATACGTATGTTTGTACAAAAGAATCTTCTCAGTTCTCCTTACCTTGTCGATATTGATCTGCTTTTTCTTTTTTTTTTAATTGGAAAGCAGTTAGTTTGTTGTAACATCTCTTGTATTTTAAAATTTCAATGAGACCTAGTTTAAGAATAGTTTGTTATTACCACAAAAGTACTGAGAAAACCCCACCTCACTTTCACTAAAAACTGGATCGTCTAGACGGGGCACCTGTCCGGTCAAATCAGGCGTTCAGAGTTATCTAAACGACGTACTACGTCGAAGCACAGAGTGGCTTCGTCAGTTCACATCTATGCCAATTAAAAACGGTTTATTTATTAAAGAAACATGAATGACGTTTTTTTGTGAGTGATCTTTCTAATGAATAACAGTGCCTCGAAGTTGCTTTTTGTATTAAAAAAACTTTAAAATGTTTAAAAACAAACCTGGAGCTTCACATTACAGCTTGCATGGTGTGCGTCAGGGCTATTCACAGCCTCTCCGACTTGTTTCTTTGGATCCGAGTAGGCTGCTGTAGAAGAAGGTTTTGCATTCACCAGAGTGAATGACGTGCTGTCGTCATAGCTGTGCCCGCGTGCAGAGTTGTATTGCAAGGCAGTGCACACTTGTTTTGGCTAAATTGAGCATGCCGATACCGATGCTTTTATGCGAGTGTGACTCAACAGTTGCTGACGAGCAAATGCTCGTCAGCAACTGACACTTTGCTCCTCCTGCATCGAATATGTGGCAAAAACGTTTGTCACATTGCGACTTCTGCTTAAAGAAAAAGCAGAAATTGTCATAAATTCTTAAATTGTCCGACATGGCCCGGCAAAGTCAGGCCATTGGTTAATTTTTTTATCCAATTTTTTACTAAGAATTGTTTACAAATACAAAATTGCTAGCTGAGAAGCGCATCACGCATTATGCGCATTTGGGTTTCCAAAATTAAAACATACAAACAGTAGTAATTCATAGCATATACCTCATTTTTTGGGACACTGAAGTATTGCCGACTTGCCTACTAGACTGAAGACTGATCGCGAGGCTTGCCTACTACTAGATTGAAGACTTTGATCGCGAGGGGGTCTCGCACATTTCACGTGCACTGGGTGAAAAAGCAAGGATTTAGTTGAAACAACTCCAGAAGCCAGCCAGCACTGCTTTCTGCCATTTATTTTTAGAAAATGTTTGCTTACTGGTTTCCAACATTCATAAAGAAATCAACTTGGAACTAATAAGAGACCAGCACTCACAGAACACATTGGAACCAACAGGATACACAGAGTACTAGCATACGACCATCCGAGCGCTTTGACACCTCAGCACCAAAAGTGTCTGTTAGCACGGCTACACTCTTTGGCCCTACTACAAATATCACTTCACCAAATAAACACAGCACGTGAAACAGGCTTTGCAGCACGTTACTCAAACAGCGCATGAAGCGAGCTGACGAGCTGAGGAATCCAAGATTTGTGCGGTCTGTCCCACTTGTTATGTCACAAATTATGATGATGATAGCTAGAGAAGCGCCTGCCGCTAATATTGTTGAGCAAGAGAGAGCGACCAGATTCTTTTTCTCAAATATATTTTAAACGATAAAAACTTGCCGCCTATTAAACGCAGCCGCCATAGGACCGTGGTATTAAAGAAACAAACGTCGGGTTGGGCTACGTGCACACTGGGGTTTTGTCAGTGTGGCTGTTCTTCCACATCATCCACGTCTCTACCGCCGGTCTTTAGTCTTGTTCTGGGATAGAGGGACGCCCTCGCTCTGCTCGTGGACAGCTGGCTGAGGACCTTGGCATTTCCCGTTTCCTCCAGGTGAACTTCCCAGTCCGTCATCTCCTTCAGGTAACGCCGCTTGTCCAGCTCGGCCTGCTCCTGATAGACCTGGGTGGCAACAGCGAGTGACGAAAGTACTAGCTTTGACCAACGTTTTTTTTTTTATTTTTTATTAGTGCCGATAGGAAAGAGAGAAATCCCGGTACATGTTGGCCACACCTTCGACCAACGTTCTTAGACCTCAGTCAGCTGACAAGCTTCCGAAAACGGCTGTCGCCTTTTTGCGGCGCATCCGCTCGGTGGCGCTTGCTACACTATCAGCCTGCCCTATGGACAGACACGGCGAAACTGGAGATATGTCGGATACACATTACCTGAGGTGGAAAGAGATTTTATTGTGGTTTTTATAGTAAACATGAGGTTTGCGCCATACTTTACGCAAAAAGAGCGACGTTGAAAAGATGTCCTTCACCGTTGCACGTGGAGGCGTTGACTCTGGTGGCGCTAGGTATGCTATCTGCCCTTATCTGCTCGCATGCCGGCACAAAGAAGAACCGTCTTGGAACGCCGCTTTTCCGTGGAGCTTGTTAACGGATAGATCTAAAAACGTTGGCTTTAGCAGTGTTGGAGCACTGCGGAAGCTACGTTAGCCTCGACGACGTAGCACGAAACGGCCCACGTCAGTGTCAACGGAAGATGTTTCGGTCCTTGCGAGAACAAATTTAGGCGCTGTCTACGAGAAAGGGTCGCATAACATTGTCGTAAATATTTTGAGCCCCTTCTGAAAGATCGATGTGCAAAAAATTTAAGAAATGGGTGCAGATTCGTTGTGTTCCGGGCTTATCCGATGGTGCCAATGTTGTTTTTGTCGTAAGCATTTGCAATGCACTGTACCGTACTCGCATGCAAATGTGTGAACCAGCCTTTGCACGCACAGCTCGATTTCAGCAACAATAGTCGGCTCTGTGTACCGCTGAAGCTTCAAATAAAAGGCTGTCGATGGCTTGCGAGTCATACCGTTGCCCAGACACGCATGTTTATATCTCGTCCCGCGCTTATCGCGACGCATTAACATGCCAATCTAGTCTTGCATGTTCATCACGTATGCACCGATATGATTGCAGGCATTTCTGCTGACTCCAGTATGTAAAGCCAATGGATGTCCCTAGTTGCAGTGTAAGATACTCTTTAGGTGAAGACACAGCACAGCAAATGCTGCAACGCAATCAACCAGAGTAGCTTATGCCGACAGCATCTCCTTCGAACAGATGGCACGAGTAAGAAAAAAGGCAAACAAAAAAAAAGTGTCGTAATGGCAGCAAAGCACACACGCTTTCCGCCAAAAGCGCCTGCTCCGACCTTGTTGGACGCTGGCTTGAACGCCGCACCAGAGATTTCTGCTTCTATGCATTCATAAAACTGTTCTTGCCTTAGCGCTTAGTCATTTGGTGGGTGATGAGTGTTATTGGCGCTTGATTATGGGGTCGCTTGATATAAGGGTTAGGGTCGAACAAGCAGCTGTCTATCCAGCTGTATTTTACTGGTTTTGGGGTCATCATCGGCTAACAAGCATTTTCACTCTTCTTATGTGCAAGTCCTATAGACGTTATGACAAATTACCCAAACTCCAAGCAGTATGGTGGAAACATAGGTACATCCACTGCACGCACTAGCCCTATCAATATAAAAGATTCTAAGTAATTGGATAATGCAGTGACGAACGCACGTGCAAAATGCCACTTGTTTTAGGTTTTTGCTGCAGAACAATTACTGCTGCAAATGCCACCATGTGCAGTGCATGCAACTACACTTGCGACATACTCTTTTTCACTTTGGTAATTTAGTGGAAGGTCTATGAAGAAAGCAAGTTTCTCTGCTTCTTGCGCAGGCATTGCGGTGACGTCAGAAGACCAAGTTCCGATTGAAAGGATAGTGGGTAGACCTCAATGCTAGCTGCCTTGAGGTCTGCCCATTATCCTTCCAATCTAGCCAATCGGAGCTCAGCGTTTTGACGTCGCCGGAACCCCTGCGCAAGAAACAGACGAATGTGCTCTCCGCATTGACAAGTAAGATATAGAAACCCACTGAAGTTACTTGGTTATGGTTGGTTACCTGTTTCTCCAAAGTTGTCATGTTTCTCCAAGCTTCACCGAGTTCCTTCATGTTTTCCTGGGAAACAAAAGGTCCAGATATTTTTTATTTATTTATTTAGAAAACTTTACATCATCCACCATACTCGTCACGTTAAGAACAATAAGTTTTGAGCATATGTTGTTCAAAGTGGTTCTTACATGATTTGACTGTCAGATCTCTTACATGTGCATGCCGTAAGTTCCTTGAAGATATACTTGAATTCATGACAGTATTTCATGAGAAATGCAATATTTTATGCATGCAGTAGCAAAGTTTCAGGAGTGGATTATTAACTGTCACACAGCTGGTCGGGACTCTGCATGACTTCCAACTGGTATAAACGGAAGCCAGATAGATGTATTATTTTTAGACCAGAGCTTCTGACCATGTTTCACATGGTAAACGTAAAAAAAAAAACTGATGCACATTATGGTTGAGGGTTCCATAGTATATCTTGGACTGAGAACTATTTAAAAAATTGGTTTCAATTTGTATATTATGACGGACACGCTTCGCAACCTTTTGAGGTAAAGCCTGGGGTCCCACAAGGCTCTGTTTTGGCACCACTTTTTATTTTTGCTCTATATAAAGAACATTGTCAATGGCATCGGTGCTGATATAAAACCTTTTGCGGACGATTGTATTATCTATCGTGAGATAACAAGCTAAGCTGACCAAATTCTACTAAATGAATCTCTAAAGAGGATAGCCAATTAATGTGATAACTGGAAAATGACTCTAAATTCAGACAAAAATGTTTTATGTCTAACAAGAAAAAAAAAAAAAAGATGCTTGAGCTTACATACAGTTTTAATGATGCAGACTTGTGCATGGTCACTGAATACAAGTATTTTGGTATTATTTTAGGATCTAACCTGAGCTGGAATGCACATTGGTAAAGTAAAGCTTTTAGCATACACCACTCTTGTGCGTCTGGAGGGCTATGTTTGACAAATTTCATTTCATTTCATTTATTTAACCGTTAAATGCCCACAGGGGGCTTTACATAAGGGGAGGGGAGGGGGGGGGGGGGGGGGCAAATTTAAACACTCAAAATAACACAAACAAAAAAAAAAGACTAGGATGTTCATGAACACATGCAAACAGGACTTTAGGTGGTAACGAGAGAGGAAATGACAGATCTGAAGTTATTACATTCTGTGATGCTCACAATAGGTTCCGGGAGGTTGTTCCAGTCAGTAATAGCCAATTGTAAGGGAGAAAATTTGAATAGGTTTGTCCTAGGCGTAGTCAGTTGAATTATGAGTGGGTGGTCAGTGCGGGGGTAGATGTGGGTGGCCGGAGGGCAGTATTCATCTTTTTTTAAGGGAAAATTATAATATATTTTGTGCAGGTGGGTAAGACGCAATACTTTTCTTCTGTGTTTTTAAAGAGGGAGGTTTAATTTTGCTTTCATTTCGGTAACACTTGTAGGCTGATAATTGTGGAGAATGAAACGTGTAGCCCGGTTCTGCACAGCTTCCAAGTTTTCCTCCAGATACAACTGATGGGGGTTCCAGACAATGGATGCATACTCGAGTTGAGGACGGATGAAAGAATTGTATGCGATGAGTTTTGTTTCTTGCGTGGCCTTATAGAGATGGCGCTTTAAAAATCCCAAACTTCTGTTTGCTTTCGCAGATATGTAGTTTATATGAGGCTCCCATGATAAGTTATGGTTAAAGTTGATGCCAAGATACTTGTAGGATGTTACGGCTTGAATTGGTATGGTAGAAAGTGAATAGTCAATCTGAGTAATGTTTTTTTATCTCCATTTTCCTCTCGACACCATGCTTGAATTTGTAACAAGTCATTTTGCAAGAGGGTACAGTCGGTTACACTCATTATTTTTCTATAAATCATGCAGTCGTCCGCATATAATCTAATAGTGGAATTCAGAAGCTCCGGCAGATCATTTATGTAAATTAAAAACAACAATGGACCCAGCACGGTTCCCTGCGGTACTCCCGATTTAACAAGTTTTTGTGACAAACAATTGTTGTCTATAACAACGTTATGAGTTCTGTTTGAAAGGAAATTTTCAATCCAGTTTTAGGAGAAATGTTTCATTTCTCCTAAAAAGAAACAGAAGTGACGATATCGCGTCCAATTGGTTAGAGGCTCACGTGACGAAAGAGGGAGCTTCCATCATTTGAGCTTCTAACCAATCAGACGCGATATTGTCACTTCTGTTTCTTTTTAAGAGAATTGAAACATTTGTCGAACATAGCCCCCTAGTACTAGCATACAGGAATATATCCTGGTTCCCACATGCACAGAAGAATGTAAGCATTATAAAAAGATGTCCAAAGAAAGGCAGTCAGATTTGCATACCACAAATACAGCCGTTCCCAGTTGGCAGCATAACTAAAAATATGCTGGTTTATTGACTATTTATGATTGCACAGCACTGGGTCAACTGAAATTTATGTTCCTCCTCCTAAACAACATTTAAAATTGATAAAAACAAGTATATTAAGCTATTGGAAGCAAGAGCCACTGGACATAAGTATAGCAAAGCACTCGTTGAGTATATTCTTTTAATAATAGCACTTTAAGATACTCATTTTTGCCTTCAGGTATACAAGACTGACAGTCTAGAAGGCACTTTTTTAGTTAGCAAGTGTTGAATTCTTTATTGGTGCAGTTGAAACCCATCTACTTTGTCAATTTATGAAATGATATGCGATTCCTGTTTCAAGAAAGATATAACGTTTGTTTTTCAATCTATTTATATTTGCCTTGTCCCAATACCTGAAAAACTCCCAACAGGGATTGGCAGTATTTTGATATAAATAAACATATTACTTTTTTTTCTTCTTCTGTGTCATACATCTAGGCATGTTTTAATAAAATAAATAACAGATCTTAATTGCACACGCAAGAATTGTACATTGCTAATATAAAGCGAAATATCAGTGCCACTTTGTGAGGAGACAAACTTTCTTTACTGCCGTTCTTCAGGTGAAAGTGACTACTAGTACATGAACCGCACATAACTAGTGTAAGTAATACTTAATACGATCGGGAAGAATTTCGTGCTGTTCCAGGTTTGTCGCCAGGTTTTTCCAGTGAGGGTGGACTCTTGCAGCCCCTCATATGTTGAGACTGTATTCTCACTATTTTCTGGCACACAAAGCGTTTTGGTCACAGGCGTAGTGGATGATCACTTCCAATTTGTACCCACCGTGATGGGTTTGTTATCAGTCTTCATTTTAAGGCAGAAGATATTGAACGCCGTCTTGGGTCCCTTGGGTTTCTCCAGCTTGCGAAGTTTCTAAAGAATAAATTCACCACATTTTGAGCAGAGCTGTGACAAATGTATTTATGGCTTCACATGTGATTGACGGTAATTTAAAACCTCGTCGTTTATTTGCATAAGCTACCGTAAAATACTGTGAAGTGCCCTCCTCGTTCAAGCGCCCACCCAGTTTAAGTGAAAGTGGGTGGGTGCCCCTCCGGTATCTTACAGTAGTGCATGGCTCTTCAAGTGCAAGCTCAAACCAGAAACAATTTGACTAGTGACCATGCCCGATTACTTTCCGATTTATGTTTTAAATGTGTTTTAAAACTTTCATAATTGTCAGCATCAGCTATGTAAGTCATCTGATTCATATTCATAGAAGTACCGTTATATATTGCACCGGGTCTGTATAAGAAAATGTTTGCGGCAGAGGTGTACAAATATTCAAAACTTCTCATCATTTAACAATGCTGAATGCTGGGCTAACATCGTTTCTCATTATTTCCAATTAGCGTTTGCAATTTGATTCGTGGTGCACTTTTGCTGTTTGAAGTATCAAAGTTTTCTGCACATTTAAAAATTGCAAATATAATGTCTTAAGAATTCCAGACTTCTCACATAATGTTTCACCGCTTCGTACTGGTGCATGTGCGTCAAGCTTCACTACTTCAGACCAACGTGCTAGGAAAAACATCCCACGTGGCAGAGCTTCTTGGACAGTTTGAAGGGCTCAGAAATTTTGCTCGCTACCGCAGGTCAACTGTTTTTAGTTATGATTATACTAGTTTAATCCCAAATTTTAAATAGCAGAGCAAAATAAATATATATATATATACTAGTTATGATTATACTAGTTTAATCTTAAATTTTAAATAGCAGAGCAAAATAAATATATATATACAGACACACACATGCATGTACACACACACATTAACCTACCGCAAAATACAGGGCAAGGGCCCACTCAAACTTTAGAGATAATCGCAAAAAAATGGGGGATGGGCGCTATTCCGGTCATCTGTTTTCTATATAAATGTACTGTGCATATTTTCTCAGATCTTTCAAATTTGGGAATGGGCGCTTAGTGTGGAATAGGCGGATGCGCGGCATTCTACCGTATGTTTAAATAAATAAGGTAGTCATTGCCCAATATTGTATCACACCCAAGTCCAGGGCTGGCAGCCTACATTGATTGATGTGCATGACAAAAGTCAACTGGAAGTAACTGTACTGTGATGCAATGTAATGTGTGAAGGAAAAGAGGGATAGTGTTTGGGAGATACTGGCTGTATATACTAACATTGTTTCAAAATTCTGCCATAAATCACACACAAATGCTGGCTGTAAAAGCTTCTCAGATGGCTAGAATAAGTCACGAGTGGAACAAGAATGCTATGGCACCATAAACAAAATAATCAGTTTTGTGCTATCAAAGCACAAATCAGTGACAGCAGCAGGTTCATGATTGCAGAAAGGAATATGCCTCTCTGTCACCGCTAAAACTAGCTTCGGGTTCAATCTTCACTTTCTGCAATACTATTTGTATGTATGTGACACGAAATACTTTTTTTCCTTTCTGACCCTCGAGTGTAGTTGTGAAAAGACCTTACGGTCTTGAGGCGACGCTCGCTCCTTGCCAGTTTCGCTCGTGCAATGGTATCCTTGAAAGCCAGCAGCTCTCCGGCAGAAAGACCAGATATGAAGTTTTTGTACTCTTTGGCATACCTCGCCGCATCTTCATGTGCCAGCTGTAGGTACTTCTGGAAGCGTAAAACGAATGCCAATTTGGGTAAGGCAAATAGAGGAAAAACAGGTCATGACACGACTCAAAATATGAAAACACTTTCTACAAACCTGTTTTGTTTCTGCGTCAGCAGCCCTCCATTCCATTGCGGCTAGTTTGACACGCTCCTGACCATCTTTCGATCCTGTAAGTATAGCGCATGAAGCACATATCACAGAATGCATGTGCTTTAGACTAATTTACTCAACTTACAAAACGTTAAAGTTCAACCTTTCAACAGTACTTTTTCACGACCATGCCCATGCACCTTCCACCCCACAAATTGAAAGGAAGAAAAAAACTATTTATTTTTCCCCCTATTTCTCTTCCTTTTCTATTTTTTGCTCATTGTCCTTAAATCCTAGTGGTGCCTTTGGCAACTGTAGACGTCTCCACACACCGTGTCTAGTTCCTGATATCCAGCTCTGTATGTCTTATTTCGCAATACTCCCGTCCTGGATTCCCTTGAACAACAACAAGCTCCCCTTAAAATTGCCACAGATATTTTCTCTGGCAATATCCATCTTGAATAATTCATGCATTTTCCAGGCTAAAATAGTCTGCACCACAGTGTAAAAAGGCTCAAGTCGAGTAACGGCATCTCCAGGGCCATCCAACTCTCGTCCCCATTTCTCATGCTCACCACCAGATGGCGCCACGGTCGTTGATGCCTGCGTGGGGAGTTAACCGTTTAGCGACTGCAGCGAAGCTTTGCACGTGCTAAACTGAACGTGACAGTTAAACGTGGCACTTTGATGCGGCGGTGGATATTCCTGATGTTATGCAAAGCTATTAGCTCTTCCGAAGAAGAGCTTTTGGCCCGTGTCATTTCCAGCATTTCTGCGTATGGCGCATGCTTTCTTTCTTTGTAAAGTGAGGAACTCATATTTGCTGGGCTATTGAGATTGCGCACTGGGCTGTGGAATGGTAAACGTTGGAGTGTGTAGAGGGCAGGCACTCAGATTCAAGCACACTATTGGCATGCAAAGTACTCTGACGCACTCGCAAGGGATGGGACGCTGAAGTCCGTTTGCTTGTTAAGTGCACACCAATTCCACAACAGGCAACGCCCTTCCCACGTTTGCACAAACAAGCATACTTTAAAGCAGAAAAAAAAAAGGCACATTATTAGCATATTTTTTATGATAGGCCTTAGAGTGGAAGCGTGATCATGGATCACACTTACGCACTAATGCATGAAAAGAGCTTTTAGCTGGCGTGCTACTGCTTTTTATCGCTTCACGAAGCCCGAATGTCAATGGAAACTCTTTCATAAAGTTGACCTGTTCACATGACTCAATGAATGTTAGTTCAGGTGTACAAACAGAAAAGGCAGAAATGGATGCAGCAGAAATGTGCTTTGATCTATAAATTTTGTTTATTGAACAAATAACTAATTCATTAACATGAAAGTAAATATCCTTTACTTTGACGAACAAAAAGTGATGGTGTACAACTCTCGCACTTTCAGGTGAAGTAAAACTGGATGTGTCAAAAGCATACCTCGGCAAACCTCACTCATGAGGGCCCTCACTCACCCTCACCTTACAGGTGAGGTGAGGGTGAGTGAGTTTCTGAACCAGGAAAATTTATGAGTGTGAGGGTGAGTGAGGGCCGTGAGGGCCGCGAGTGCGTGAGGGCCGTGAGGGCGGTGAGGGGTATGAAGGCCATGAGTGCGTGCGGGGAGTGAGGGCGGTGAGTGGCGTGAGGGCCATGAGTGCGTGAAGGGTGTGAGGGCGGTGAGTGTGCCAGGGCCATGAGTGCGTGAGGGCAGTGAGTGGCATGAGAGGAGTGAGGGCCGTGAGGGCGGTGAGTGCATGAGGGGTGTGAGGGCCATGAGTGCGTAAGGGCGGTGAGTGCGTGAATCCCCCTTCAGACGCAGCATCTTTCTCACCAATTTTGGTGTTGATGGCGGGTTGTTCTCTAGCTTTCCCTAGATCGACACGAATTGCTGAGATTGAGTCCGGCTCGAAATAAACAAGCAATTTGGAGCGATTCGAAGACGTTTGATGCGGCTGCATCTAATCAGGGACGCAAAATTTTCACGTGATACCTCGTGCCGGAGATGATGACACCGAAAGACTTGGTTCTGGTTTGAAATCGATCGTTTTTGGAAGTAAACTATTTCAGAAAGGTGCATTAGTATTCTTAACGAGATTTAGATGCATAAAAATAGTGCAAGAAAAATAAAATTTTATGATGACGACGGCAAATTGCAGCGATTGGTTGCTGCGTGTGATTGCAGGTGGCCCGTATTGCTGGTGTTGCGACATCAAGTTTCTGGGCAAAATTGCCCCATCTGAAGCTGGCTTGAGTGGCATGAGTGCGTGAGGGGCGTGAGAGATGTGAGGGCCGCGAGGGAGGTGAGTGCGTGAGGGGTGGTGAGTGGCGTGAGGGCCACGAGTGCGTGAGGGCGGTGAGTGCGCGAGGGCGGTGAGTGGCGTGAGGGCGGTGAGTGGCGTGAGGGCAGTGAGTGGCGTGAGGGCTATGAGTGCGTGAGGGCCGTCAGGGCGGTGAGGGCCGTGAGGGCGGTTCTTTCTCGTTCTTCGTTGAGTAGTAGGGATAGCACGGAAACTTTGTTGGCACTTCGTCTTGCGAAGTGGACATTGTTGTTATAGACGGCTTTACACAATCTGCTCCCAAACTTCAACTCGAAATGTCACTTGCAGACAAAGTCTGTCGGCTGCAGCAGCCGGTCATTGCACAGGATCACGCCATGCCATGCCTTTAGGCGGTCCTCTTCTTTGAAAGCACCAAAAAGAGACAGCTTCTCCATTCACATTTTGATGTTACAGCATTGAGGAGCTTGCGTCACAGAAAAGCCGGCGTCGGTGGCGTGATGGGAAAATCCTGATTGGTCAATAGGGTCATGACGTTACAGCCAGATAACCTCGCACAGAAATTTCAAACCCACAACGCTCACGTAAAACGGGATGTCACGCGTGGAATGAAAGTGATTAAAACATGATATGTAATGGGAATTAAAGGTCGCTGCATGTCTCAAATGCTTTCAGTTTGTAATTCACTTGCCTTAAAGAAAAATTTTAAAAATTTTAGGTGGGGTTCGGTTGCGAACCAGACACGCTAGTGACCAGGCCATGAAAGGTACGCTTGCACAGCGAATGAGAAGCGGATGCAAACGAGGCCCGATAACACTACCACGTTCCGCTCTTAAAGGCGAAGCTTAAGCGTCCTCCCAGTTTTGTATCCTGCGTTCCACTATGGCATGTAGCACTTCTTCTCCATTGGTGGCACCTTTCGGAAGACAAAACTAGCCAAAAACAAAATGATAACCGCGGGAGACTGCGCAGAGTTGCAGCCCAGCACATGCTACTGCCGCTGACGAAAGGACATCCTCGTAAAGCCCCTCTCCTCGGCATTGATGGCACGCTCTGGTGGCAGAAGAGAGAGTCGCGTGCCAACCTTCGCCACAACGGCTCTGCAGCGGAGGTGCAACATAACACTGCTTGAAGTATTTTTATCGCCATGGTCTGCATATCTACCTCCCATACTTTTCGGTTACCTCGACGGCTCTGAGACAAAGCGTCGATCTACAAATCACCAGTTGGCAGATTCAAATCTCATCCAAGGTGCCAGCAATTGACGGAGGCTGACTGCAGAGAACACGCCATGTAAGCGAGATTTCAGTTGCACATCAAACGACCCCCATGTAGTTATGCGATGTTGTTGATAGATTCAAAATTATTCTTTAGTCCTTTTTTCCTTCATTGGCTTGGTACCTAAAACCCGCAAATTTATGCTTTGTCCCATACTCCCCACTATTGCCGAAATATTTCAATCAGTGTTTTCTTGTTCGCTTTCTCAATCTTGCGTCAACACTCATGTACAGGTCCCGTCAAAGTAAAACGGAGCGCCGGAGCGGCGACCGAACTGCATCGCCACGCTATCTAGTAGTAAAACATATAAAATAGCGCAACAGAAAGACAAGGACAGGAAGTATACAGGACAGGCGCTACCTGTCCTGTATAGACGCTTTACCCACGCGCCAGATTGAGCCGCCATAGCCGCCCTTCCCTTGTCTTACCGAAATGCCGAGCCAGTGAAGCGGGCGTTGACGGGTCTTCACAAGGGCCTATGCTGGGCACAAGAACACAGTAGCATCTAAAATGGCAATGACCTGTCCTGCTGTGGTAATGATGAAGTGAAGCGAACGGAATAAGAGGGAACAAAAACTGAAGGTCAGTATTGGCGGCGCCCATGCACAGATGCTGTAAAGCGTCTATACTTCTTGTAAAACATATTTTATATGTTTTACTAAGATGAACCAACTAGCCCAACAACGTACCTTACTAAACTATCTAGTAGCTCCGGCTGCAACTGATAGGTGCCGTCTGCGCATGCGCGCTTGCCGTTCGCGGTGTCCTCCGTCTTTTTTGTTTGATCTTCGCATTATCGGCTTCTCGAGCTGCCAAACGCTGTTCCGATAAACACCGCTAGGTGTTCGGCTCGGGCTCGCATGGGGAGGTAACACCGAAGGCAAGTGGGAGAGAGGGGCCAGTGTTGTCGAGGAGCACCGCTCCTTGTGCTATCAGGCATCAATTTTAGGAAGAGTGTTGCGCCGCTCGAACCATTGATAACGTGTGGGTGGGAAGAAGGAAACGGAGGCCCCAGCGGAAGGCACGTTTGCATGCGCAGATGTAGCCTATCAGTTCCAGCCGGCGCTGCTAGATAGCGCGGCGATGCAGTTCGGTCGCCGATCCGGCGCTCCGTTTTACTTTGACGGGACCTGTACATTGCTAAAAAAAACTCTTTGTCCTTGTCCATTTCTCCCACTTTATCCATTCACAAATTCTTCCTTATGATATGCTTCTTTCTTACGAATGACAACCACTTCTATCAGCCTGCACCCCTCGATTTGGTGTTCTTTCAAAGCCAATCATCCTAGCCTACCTTGGACGACCAGTTTCATACAAGAACTGTTTCCAAAAGTCAAGTTCGTCACCATAATTCCTTTCCCTAACCCCTTTCCGCGAGAACACCGGTGTGGGGCTACGTGTGGCAATTCATCTGTCAGACTGTCTGCTGGTTGCAGGTGAAAACAGTCGAAGTGCCTCCGACAGTACTAGCTGACGTGCCTCCGCGGCCAGACGGCGCTCCTAAACAAAAAGTAACGGCTCGAATGCTGGAACTTGGGTGGCACCGGTATCGAAACGAAGGAGTGAGAGATATTTGAGGAGATGAGGGAAAGGCGAAAAACTGTAGCGGAGAGAAACATAAAATGTCGTTGCTTTCTCCCAAGGGCTTTTAAAGCCAAAATATACCCTCGAACCGTTCATTTGGAAAGCAGGCCAACAGACGACTTTGGACACAACCGTACACCTAATCGAGGTGTAGCTCACCAAACTGTGTTAAATAGGCACAGGCACGAGAGCTCTTCAAAACGTTTTGTTTACAGGGGCAAGAAAAGCACCGTCGAAAGCGCTTTCCAAACTCACGTGCAGCAGCGAGGGGGAGCACCCCCTCGCAGCTGCACGTAACTTTTGAAGGGACCTTCGGGAGTAAGTAATCCTCTGTTACCCTTGCATTGCCCTTCCAGAAACGTCCACTTGTCCTTGGTGAACATCTGGTAGCCGGAAAGTGCTTTCTTCGGTGGCTGAGGAAGCTCGGCGAGTCCCGGTGTTCCCTTTCTGGCCGCGAGACAGCGAACGTTCCGTAAGAGGCATTCTTGGACCAGATGTGCCCATGCTCTGAAAGAAATTTACACGGCCGGGAAAATGCTCTTGAATTGATCGAATGCCACGACAAAGACATTCAAACGAACCTCGTGAGGGAAGCCACGCTCATAATTTTGCGAGTTTGTTTCAACCTCGTTGGTTTGTTTACATGTTTAGTTTCTAAACCTATGTAGAGAGGGCAGCACTATTTTTCCAGCGCTAGCACTAGCGCTGCCAGGATTTTGTTGAGTAACAGCGCGATTTTTAATTAAACGTGAGCCAAGAAAGACACAAAACATTAAGTAAATTAGGGTACATACTATACGTTTTTTTTTGTTTTTTTTTTGAATGCAAACAACGCGTTCACCTTTGCAGTCCTTGTCAAGTCAAGGAGTGTGTTCGGGGCTCGGCTACTAAGTGTCGAATATGGAAATCTACAAAGGTTATACTGCAGCTTTATGATGCGAACAGAAGTGAACTGTAGCCAGTAAATCAACACATCAATGCTTTATTTCTCACCGATGGATATACATATAATACAAAATGTAAACAAGTAGTAAGTGCAAGGCATTCAGAGTAAGGATGAGGATTGTAATTCAGCATCTTATAAAATCCACAATTTGGTGGAATATAAGCAACCAAACACAATGAAAATAAATGGCAGTGAAAATACCTTTGCAAACCTTCCACCTTCAATTAGTCTTCAGTACAGAACGTACACACAGTGCGCTGCTTGCATCTCAGAATTTCAAAGAAAGTCACAAAACACAATGAAAGTGCTAACCAGGAGTCTTATTCTTCAGTGCTACAAGCTTGAAACACTTCTCGTTTTATCTCGTTTTAAAAAAAAAATCTTGCATTCAATCTTGCAGAGGAAGGCAACCTCATCTTCAGCCACCATTCTGCTGTCAATGCGTCTGCAGCTATGTCTTGACCTTGTGCTCAAGGCTGTACTTCCCCTTCCTAATATCCTTGATGTCCTGCTTCAAGTCTTCCAGGATGTCCCGCTGTCCTTGGTCCTCCAGACGCTTGGTCCAGGCCTGCATTTCCCGGGTGTACCGTTGACGGTCCCCCTCGGCTTGCTTCAGGTAGGGCTGAACACAACCGCAACAAAACGTGTGTAATCCTCAACCAATTATTGTTATAAACTATTATTCTACTCAAAACTGCTCAAAACAATGCTTTTCTGCACAGGGGCCAAAGTTATGAATGAGAAGAAAGACATGTACTATTGTTTTGCTGATTAAAAGGACCATGAAACAATATTTTCACTATGGCTCAACTATGCGGAGGGCAAGTTCGCCAGCTTTTTGCGTAGGGGCTGCAGTGATGTCAAATCGCCAAGCTTTGATTCACTCTGATTAGAAGGATAGTGGGTAGACCTCAATGCTAGCTGCCTTGAGGTCTGCCCGCTAGCCTTCAATCAAAGCCAATCATAGCTCGGTGTTCTGACGTCACCGCAAGAAGCAGAGGAACTTGTGCTCCGCACTGGTTCTCAAAATAAACACATCATGATTGTAAAGCATGAGACAGGGATCAGTTTCGCTCAAGTGCACAAAGTACTTTACAAACATGCTGGTTTACATGATAGCAAAAAAATGACACGATAAAACAATTGCATTAGTCCTGTGCTCCATGTTACCGTCTTGCGAGTTATAATTGGTGGTGCAATCAGCTTTGCAATGCACACTTCATTTTATTGTGGACAACTCAGGAAGTGTAAGCAAAGATCTATATATTTTAATTTTAGCTGCTAGTTCAGTGTGCAGCTACTGGTATATGTTCTTTCTGTGCATATAAGACATCATATATTGTTTTTGTATGTATGGTGCGTTTCTGTGTTCAATTTGAGTAGGTAGGATCTTGTTTGTTTTGAGAGCGCAGCTCTTAGGGGCCCGTTTCCGCCTTGAGTGGCGTCGCCGTCGGCATAACCGCAAAATCACGTGACCCCCCCCCGAGGTCACGTGACCCCACTGAGGTCACGCGACGCCTCCTGACGTCACACAACCCCCCGAGGTCACATGACCCCCCTGAGTCCATGTGACCCCACCCTGAGGTCACGTGACCCTTCCTCAGGTCACATAACCCCCCTCAGGTGACATGAGCCCCCCGACGTCACACGACCCCCTGAGGTCACGTGACCCCCCTCAGGTGACGAGACCCCCCTGACGTCAGACGACCTCCCCCTGAGGTCACGTGACCCCGAGGAGTCACCTATCCCTCAGTACCCTTCCACCCTCCTCCTCCTCAAGAGCTGCACTCTGATCCGGCGTTACAGGGAATTGTACACGGCTTTCATTTTTTTACTCCCCCTTTGGGCACTTTTAGATGCATAAATTAAATACCGCCCATTTTACACACCTCTACAAGCAATCCACAGCTGACATGATCTAGCAATTTTATGGAAGGTATTCACCGACCGCTATCGAGCTTCATTGGCCGGTGAAGCTGCGAGAAGCACTCTTGGTGCGAATGGATCTTCCAAGCAAGAGAGCACAAGTCCACACAAAGCGCTTCATGAAGATGCGACTTTGTCGGAAATGATGCCACAGTACACAAACTACTATAACTGGCGACGGGTTAAGAGACCCACAGAGGCTCTGCCTCCAGCACGTCCTTGTTGCCTTCCACCGGGCATTAACGGCGCATGCAATGAAGTGTTATCAAAGGCAAAAAGCTTGTGCTCAAGGCAGAGCATCAACTGGGTTCTTAATCTGTCACTGACTGCACCAAATATTTTTGCAAAGGCTTTCAAAAATTCCTAAAACTAGAGTGCTTGGAACAAACTGTCAGCTACGGCGGACTCTGGGGACAGCAAAAGATAAAATACGCCGAGAGTAATGATTAGTGATGGGACGAATCTTTATCCGAATTGAGATTCGGAGCCGAATCTGAAGATTCGGAAGGGTAGCCGAATCTCAAGCGATTCGGAATAGTTTGGAAAGATTTGGAGCGTTGACATGGTTGCAAGATTACGTTGACGAGTGTTTCAACTTTTCGTGATATTAAATTCACTAAATTCTACAAACTGCACAAAATGCTAAGGTAATATATTATCGTAGTAATAAATAAAGTGTTCGGCTTTGTTTATATTATTTTGGATGTTTGTCGAGAACGGTAGCCAGACATCGCAGGAAAATTGGTTTCGGTTCCGTATTACGACAAAAATCGGCATGCTTGGTGCACGTGGAAATACAAGCCCATGTTTTCATCGACAAAAGAGATTGATGCTGTACGTGCTGTTTGGCACAGGCTCATTTCGTGCTCATAATTACGGTCATAGTGGCACACACCACACAAGTGAGTATGTTTGATTTGATTATCTTCAATGCGAGTCCACTGAGGTATTGCTATCGAAACACGAGAAACAATCTGAAATTCCTTGCGCCGTACTATTAGTCTTTCTGGTTAATGATATCCGATTGAGGTAGTGTTTGTTTTCTAACAATAAAGTTACGTTGGACACCCCTGCGTTGGGTTTCTTTTTCATCAAGTAAAGTTCACGTACACAAAACTTATTGCCGAGAACGGAGAAACGACAGTGCGACGTTTTTCTGCGCCACCGGTGCCGGTACGTTGTCGAAGTTGTGACGAGCAACATTCATCTCGCTCGCATGCCTTAAAGGTACAGACATATGCAGCTCTAGAGAAGGAGACGAATCAGTTCCTTACCTGAATATATTTATTGTGCGTTGCGCCACATTATGTATAAAACATAGCATTTCGCTACATTTTACCAAGGGGAATCAGTGGCCGAGTGGGCTGAAGCGCACACCCAGCTCGACGTGCGTGGAGCAAAAGCTTGCGCTGCAGAACCCAGGGATCCTGGGTTCGAGCCCTACCCTTGCCCATTTCAATCTGGATGAGCATCGTACCGGCGTGCGGTCATGTATCACTACTGCGTGGTGCACGTTAAAGACCCCGGGTTAACAGTCGTACTGCACTGGCAAAATTGCTCATCTACAGTGTAAACCAGTGTCGCCCCTACTGGCAGACCAACCTTACGCTCTATAAATCACTAAAACGTCCAATTTGACTTTTTGACGTTTTACCGATCACCGCGAAACCGCACAGCAATCGAGATTGGTTAGGCCTACGTCAATCACACCGATCAGCTCAGCTGGACCTGGGTGCGTGCCAGGGTTTAGACTAACAGTACAGTACATACCATACGCTGATATAAACAAGACGAAATCTGGTTATATGCATTAACAGTACCTAGAAGAGACAGAACTGACCGCACTCGCGAGGTTTACGAGAAGGCTCACGCTGCCATCTGCAACCAGCGACGAATCTCCGACTCTGCCGAATATTCGTCGCGGGAAGTTCGGAAATTTCAGAATCTGGGCGAATTTGAATCTCCGGTGATTCGTCCCATCACTAGTAATGATTACCTATATTTATTAGTTCACTTTTGAATTCGTGAAAATATATATATGGCTCCAATTAGAAACTTAACGAACGTCATTGAAAACCTCTTTATCAATCATTTTTGGGACGACTCGAAGAACCTTGGGAAGAGTGGGATGCACTAAAGTGTCAACTCGTGTAGCAGGCGGGAGGCTGGTGATACAAAAGCACAGACGATCGTCTTACATACTGCCCACATTTTCGCATCACCAGCCATTCCGCCTGTTGCACAAGCGAAAGCTTGAGTGCACCCTCGCGCTTCACACGTCCTCTAAGTCTTTCTAAAAATTGACTGATCTAGGCATTTTCGACAACGCTCAGCAAGTTCTTAATTAGAACCATGTGTTTATTTTCACTAATTCAAAAGTTAAAGGGATTGCCAGGTAAAATTTTGTGTTCAAGAAAACAATTCAATATTATTACTGCCTCGAAATGCATCGTCCGTGCAATATCTGTATTTTATATGCGCCTCTGCATGAGTAATCGAATTTTAAACTGCTTTAATCGCATCCTAGTGTAGACGGTGCTTTTGTAGGCAATATTGAAGCTTTGACGTCACATAACGCCACGCGAGCATTTCCCTCTCGTCGTTTGCCTGCGAGTGAATGCTGCAGCGTGCTTCATTTTTATTTTGTGCTCGACTCGTTTCGTGAAGGGTGAGATTTTTGTCGCGCGGTTGGGTGCCACACATTACGGGCAGCACCAGCAATCCACGACTAGACGCACAGTGACGAGCAAAATGGATCGTCGCCGCATGTAGAGAGCACTGGGTTCCCGTCAAGATCGAGATCCTGCTTATGCAGCAATCATTTCACAGAAGAGAGCTATGAGCCGAGCTCTAAGCGGACAGAAGGTTTGTAAGCTGAGGTGTGACGCTGTGCCAACGATATTCAACTATGTCCACCCACTCCTCGCCCAAATCGAATCGGTTTGATTATGCAGTGAAACCGAAACCAACAGCTAAGCCATCTTGAAACGTTGCCAAGTTAAATTTAGCACACGAGCAGCCCGATTCTGTTTAACCCGCCTATGAAAATGGAGCGTGGCTACGATTTGCCAAGCTCGTCCCAGTCAAGTGACGATCTAGAAATATGAAAAGCATTTTGAATGATTCGCCTTTTCCTTCGACCTGCAGGCATCGCCTCCGAGGGAACGACCCGCAGCCGCTTTACCGATCCAGTGGATCCGCTAACATGTGGACCCAAATGCCGCATCGTGGACCCAGATGTCGCTTCAGGGGCAAAATCTGCATCGTCCTCTTTGCAAGTGCTCCTTGTCCAATCGGTGGCCGTCGCAGTTGTGTATGCACAAAACGGCATATGTTTGCCCGAATCTAATGGCTGTTTTCAAGTAAAGTCCTACTAAAAGGCCAGACTTTTTTGCACATGCTTGAGAACTGCCTCACAAGAAACATATTTCAGCGGTGTACAGCCTAGGAGACTACATAATTCTAAACAAAACACAAGACATTCACCGACCAACGCTTGTTATCTCGACCATCCGACAATCCTTTGCGTCACGCAGCAGCTATGGATGTCAGCCATTGATGCTGGCGAAATTCAGGGTGTAGTTTCTTAAGCTTATGAAAGCTTTAATTAATATTAGGACATCATATATCAAAATAAAAACAATGTTTGTCTATATCAAGGCTCCCTTGATGTAAAGAGTGCAAAAACTTAAGTACTTCCGCTTTTGACTGGACAATCGCTTTAAGTAGTAAATAATTAGTAATTATTTTGCTAATTAGTGTGTCTTTTGCAATCCCTGATGTCCCCAGTGGTTGGCAGCTTGTTCCCGAAAATATTTGCTTTTTTGTAAGGATTTTTGAAAGTATTTGCAGAAGCACCCGACAGTACTTTTCGAATGGCTACAATGAGATGGCAGAGACCTGTTTCTTGTCTTCTGGTAACTGCTTCCACAAAGTGGCAAGGTGGATCATCATCTCCTGCAAAGTAAAGCAAGGATACATTGCGAATTCAGATGTACCCCAGCACAGGTGCAGCTATGCTCTGCAAACTTACGATTTGTGGCTGTCAAATCCAATACCAATAAAAATAAAAGAATATGTGTTGACCCCTTAACAGTTCTGGACGAGCCTAGCTCATCCACCTGAAGCTGTCCCCAAGCCGTTTAGGATGAGTGTAGCTCATGCGCGCACCCTCACTCACCCCTCAGCTGTCTTGAAAGATCCAGCCTTGTTCAAAGCTTAGTTTGCAGTGCTGCCGAGACATGGCAGCACATACTGTACATTGTTTTTACTGCAAACGTTTTTTTAAAAATGCCGACCGGTGCTGGAGACACGTGCGTCCTGGGCCACACAGGCAATAAAACTAAAAAAGCAGTTTAAGGTCCAAAATTACCAAAAATTAAAAAACAAAATTAAAAAATGGCTAAGGGGTCAATTTTTACATTTTAGTCGAAGGATCCCTAAAGCAAGTCATCAGACCAGGAGCTGACATACCACATAGATTATTAGGCTTCGAGGTCTGAAGGAAATAAGACGAGAATATATTTTTTAGCATTATTTCAATTTCCTGGTGTCACTGGTAACTTCTAGCCCCAGGAGGTAACCTGGGTACAAAGCAACAGGCGTGTCGCTGAAAGGCCGTATCGGGTTATTCAAATTGAATACAGAGTCATAATGTCAACAGATTGATATACTAACTCATCCACTAACATTACAAAGTTTTGCTAAGGTGGTGATCATTTGTGCCCCTGCTGGCATCTTTGTGCAATATTCTAGTACAATACCACACACTGTAGTAACATATAGCCTCTTCAATGAAATGAACATAGCTCCTCCTGGAAGCTTCAGGTGCCCGTTCACACACTTGCGTCTGCTTAGTACCGAGTCTTTGCGATCTCTTATGACGAGAAAACACAATGGCATGCCGGCGCCACGTATGAGGTGACCATGCAACTACATCTCTCTAAGGCGAAGGTTTTGCAGTATCTGTGAGATCAAACATACATACCGTCTATGGGAAACGGTTGTTTATAACACTGTCAAAAGTTCTTCAAAAAAGAAAGAATGATAAGAAGAAAAAAAAATATACAGGGTTATAACGTGGTGCGAAATACAACAGACGTCAGCAGGGCCCCAGGGCTTACTGCTTTACTGACACAGTCAGGTCGTCAGGTTACAAGAGCAGGAATGAAGTGAACAAACAGGGGACAATGCTCTGGTTTATCTAAGCAGAGCATATGCGATGGCACACAGCAGGCACGTAGCCCCCCCCCCCCCCCCCCCCCCGAAATCTTCGATTTTGCTGGGACCCTCCTCTCCCCCCTCCCCCTCATACAGCATTTTGTCATGGGCGGGCCCCCCTGAAACAAAATCCCGGCTACGTGCCTGGCAGACAGGCACGCATGAGCACAAACAATCAGATATCATGGTATGACAATGCAGTACACCGAAACAACATACGGTAACTGCAAGTGTTCCATAGCTACCCAACAGATGGTGCCAGTGTTCTCTTGTCACAAGAGGTTTTAAGATGCTTTAAGGCACACGGTCGTAAGCAGTCGCAAGTGTGTGAACAAGCCTGCAGAGTGTGGCTGATACTTCATAAACTGCACCGAGTTTCTGGCCTAGAACCACAAAATGGGACAGTGCCAATGATAAGTGCTTAGACAAAATGCGAGAAACTAGCAATTGTACCCAATGTTTGAAACATAATGTTTTTAGTCATACGGTTCCGACACTAGCATTGTACCCAGCCAGAACTCTGGCTAGTCTGCTCTGAATCGAGCAAACATCCTCTGTTATGGTTGTATACTGGTTTTTAAAGGGCTTTTGGTGTATGATCTTGTAAGCTTAGTTGTCACACTTGCCGTAGATCTCGAGAAAGACAGCCTCATTAAATCCACAGCTCTATCACAACAAAAATGTTTACTCATGCGACCATAAACAAACAAAATTTCGTCCAGGACAAGTGACAAGGCCTTTCTAAACGTCCAAGAAGCATAGAATAGTACTAAGACGTTCGAGATCGTGTTCCCTGCAATTGCCTCTGCGGAACATTATTTTTAATAGTATAGTACAGCTTCATAGTTCATTGTACAGCTTGCTGTCAACTAAATTCAAGCATCTAGCTAGACTACAACAATCTAAAAATGGCTGCTGAGCAGGCGCCTACCTGTGCCGTCAGGACAGTACTCTCACTACGCGCTTTCCCAAGCATCCAAGAAGCAATACTGCTGCCAAATGCGTGCTGGAGAAGAGACGGGTATGGCACATGGAGCAACCAAAAGATCAATGTGCAAAATGCAGCCAACTGCGGTGCAGTGTTGCTAGCAAACCAAGGCAGCCATTGCAAGCGGGTCGGCAACAAGATCACCCAACAAGCCCTAAGCAGCCACTTTTTTGCTACAAACTGCTGCCCTGCACACGCGTGTTTGTGAACAAAATAAAGCTGCTAAACTCTGGTTTAACTTACGATGAACTGCAGAGGACGCTACAGCTCATAGAATTTCCAATCCAACGCCGTGAAAGTGTCACGTAACCTTCTGAAGGGGCACAGCAATGCACAGGGTGAGTAGTCATGTGAAAAGTTCACAGTGCAGGATTGATTAGGATGGCTTGCAGCGTCCGCTGTGATCTATCGTAAGGCGAAACAAAGAATGGCATGGTCTCTAACATAGCAGCTTCTGTGTTGCTAGAGAAAACATGGGAAGATGGCAGTAGTTAACTACAACTTGGTTATTGCTTGCTTCCTTCAGTTGAAGATAAACTTTCAGACATCAAGCTTTTATCTTACGCTAAAGTACCTCCTGAATCATACAGTCCACTATGAAGTCACTTAGTGTGCAATGGCACGGCGACTTTGGTGGCAACTGCTCAACTATTTCAGGTATAAACGACCGACGGCCTTGTTGGATGTTGCCTGGTGTCACCAGGGACGTGCTGTTCACCTTTGGAGTCTTGTCCTGCAGCTGCTTCCTCATGGCAGAGGAGAAAAGGACAAATGCTGTCCTGGCACCCTTGGGCCTGTCCAACTCCTTTAGTTTCTGCGTATGAGAGATTAAACAAGCCACTTGAGGTGTTGAGCATTGCTCCCCCTTTAAACGAGTACAAGTTGACTGGTTACACCTTTTGGCAGTGAGAATGTGCACAAGCCGTGCTTTAGGTGCTTCAACTGAGAACACCCGAAAAGCAAACACCTACACATAACCTTGCGTAGGGCTTTCAGCCTACTCTATTCAGTTTCCGATTATCATGCAAGACATTTGTTCATCCCCTGACCTCACATACCTATAGACCGACACGCTGTTTACAAACAAGCCCTCATTTGCCCACACCAGGTGTGGGCACTGCGCGTGCGCAGAAACCGAATTCACGTGAAGTGAATCGTCTGCGCACGCGCAGTGTCGTTGACAGCGCCACCGCAGCTGCGTGACGTCACGGCCGCGTGTTGGTCTACACATGGCCACTTTATTCCCTGGAAATGCGCAGTGCATAAGTTCCTACTCAATCTTTATCGAAACTTCAACACGTATGCAGCCCTTCTCTCACCTCATGCAGTTTTTTCTTGCTCACACGAAGTTTCTTGTCTAGCGACAGCTCTGCCAGTGCTTCCTTCTGCTGTGGAGTGAGCCTCGATGTGTAAGCCTCTTTTTCCTTGGCAAACGCCTCCATGCGCTCTCGTGAGAGGGTTTCATATTTCTGTAGAAAAGAGGACGCAGCTCAGTACCAGGCACTAGTTACGCTGGACCAAGTTTTCCGAGGCTGCGGTTGTGCCTTACCTTCTTCGTAATTTCATCAGCCATGTTCCATTTTTCTGCCAGCGTTTTGACTACCTCAGTGGGCTTGAGAGCTGCAAAAGTTGCATTCGCAGTGTGTTACTGCCCACATCATATTCCAATGGACTTTCAGCTTTCTTCAATGCAAAGCAGTTGATTTGTGCGGGCCGAAAAACGGGGTTTCATTTTCTGTATTAGACCCCATAGTTTCAAGTTGCTTTGGTGGTATTCGCAGCAATCTTCTGGACAGCAGTAGATTCATTTTGCAGACGATGTACTAATTGTCTGCTCGCAACCCCTCACAAAAAAAAAAGTGGTCCCAGTCTGAACCACCACTTCACATCAAGGTTTGTCTCAATAACCATGACAGTAATCAAATTATATCCTAAAAATAAAATCTCTTCCAAAATTAAAAAAAAATTAGCAAATTTATAAACTATCGTTTTTTTACAGCAAATACAAAACAACTTAGCACCTCATCTCCTATTGTGAAGTTCGAGCCATCAGCTGCTGCCCACTCGCATCAAGCAAGAATGGAGACTTTGGAGTCTGGCAGACACCAAGCGCGCACGCATAGCTAAAGCACAGTCAGAGGCAACGAGCACATGAGGGAGGCCGGGGATCCCTAAGAGATTCCCTGCCATTCTTGTTCTGTCACGCTATGCGGGCAAAAGTGAGGAAGGGGAGGAGACGAAAGCGCACGGACGTCACAATGCCCAGCTCTGATTGGAACGATTAGTGGGAAGATGCATGGCTAGCTGCCTTTTTCTCCACTGCGCTCGTCGAATGCATTCCAGCGCAAACGTCGGCATTCGACGAGTGCGGTCGAGACGAAGACAGCTAGCTTTGAGCCTACCCACTAATGATTCGAAACATAGCTCGGCGATCTGACGTTTCCGTACTTTCTCGTCTCCTCCTCTCCCTCACTTTCTGCTTGCATAGCACGAAACCGGCCAGCGGGGCGCAGAAGCATGCTGCGTGACTGTTAGCCCAAACATGGCATCGGCGCTTATTCACATGTTACTTAGCATTGGCAGACGTCAAACTTTACCGCTTAGATAATTGTCCCAGATTGGCACTTGTCACCACAACACTAGTTATGATGACAGCCCTTCGATTTCCGAGAAAAGAAAAACCAAAAGAACTGGCAACTGTTTGTTTGAGCTAACAGCCATATGTTGCACTGTACATGTCGCTGTTGCAGTGCACGTGTTGGCCACATGTATGCAATGTACATACATGTGGCCTAAACCTAATGGCAAACCTTGATGATACCTAATGCCAATCTGCATTACAATGGTGCCGACAAGCTAAATGTGTCGCGCACTCATTGCCTTTCAACACAACTGCCTAACAACTGGATGCAGAAGATGCATATTTCAATTTTCTGTTACCGGGGTTCTGTTTCATGACGGCCTTCCTGGTATCGTTTAGGAAGAGGATGTAGCCAGAGGGAGGGCGCTTGGGTGCGGAAGGCAGTGCTATGTCGGACCTGACCTTTTGCGTTGCAAATGGCCGAGCATTCTCGTGAGCGGAGTCGTTCACGCTGCACGTAATCCTGAAATGAAAAGCACATTGAACAGGTTCTCATATTACATCATAGCAGATAAATGAGAAACTTGGACTTCATGTTTTGACATGACACACCTCACCACGCTGTGAATTTTCGTCACAAAACATGCAAATTGGTTTTTGTTTTGTCTTTTCCTTATGATAGCTATAAGCTGAAAAAGATAATCCCAATTTTTAAGCTGCATAACCACACTGCATAAAGCATGAAGGTAAGAAAAATTGGCAGCATGAGCTCAAAAGAAGAGACAGCTGATGCTTTATATGTTTTATTAAGAGACCTAGCCAAGACCTCAGCTGGACAGAAGCTTTTTGCCGATAAACAAGAGAACTAGCAAGCAATGCCGAAACTCTGCTAAGAGGCTACTTTATCGCTGTTCTGTACCATCTCATTATACAATTCCTGGGGGGCTATGTTCGACAAATGTTTTGTTTCTCCTAAAATGAGATGGAAGTGACAATATTGCGTCTGATTGGTAAGAGGCTCAAATGACGAAAGAGGGAACTTTCGTCATTTGAGCCTCTAACCAATCGGATGCGATCGTCATTTCTGTCACTTCCGCTTCTTTTAAGGAGAAACGAAACATTTGTCTAACATAGCCCCCTTGTGGTACCTGTAGGAGTGTGTTCCAATGCAATCAGAGTGCATCCATTCTATTTAAGTTTGATTACATTCTGCAAGCCCGGGCAGCAAGATCGGTTCAAATTAAAATTCTACCTGTTAACAATCGCTGCTGCCAGAGCCGAGTCTTAAGTATTAATTATCTGGAAATTGGTTGGAAATATAGACCGCGCAAATGCTTGCCTGCCAGAGGCATAGGTTCAGTGAAATTTCGTCTAGATTTACTATGAAGAACGGTAAGATCATGTCCGGGTCCGTGAAAATTTCAATGAACTTATGTCCGGCCGGTATTTGCTGGGTCGGTATTTGTTGGGTCAGTTTTTGTCCGGTCATCAGTTTTCTAAAGGAAGCTTGTCGTTGTTAAAGGGCCCACTAAACACACTTTGGGCTGGGATAAATCAGTTTAGATTGCGATTTTACTAATAGCACATCGGTTCAGTGGGCCAAAAAAGAAAAGGTAGAAAATCAAAAGCCTGACTTTAGAAAATTTGAAAACACAGCAGACTATTTCGTACCTCCTTCCCTTCGTGAAACCTCTGCCTTTTGACTGTGATACATCTGCGGTCCCCAAAGCGCGTCATTGGGTCCAGACACCAGACCTCACTTATTCCCTTCACCCCTAAGCTGACCTTGCGGTGGAAGCTGCGTGCTTGCCGGACCAATCAGCCGCCTCCCTTTCATCACCTGACCTCATTCTCTGCGCGTGGGTATGTGCGAGAGAGTGTCATCACGTGGCAAAAGTGTGGCTGGCCCAAGGAGCACGTAGTTTCCACAGCGCTGTCAGCTTCGGGGTGAACGGGGTGGGGAAAGCAACTTTTGTCTGAATTTTGAGCGACAGGCTAATCTTTTACGGGGGGGAATGGCTGTGTCCGGGTACACAAACGAAATTCCGAGCAAGAGGGGACTCCCCCCTTTCTGTCTTCCTAAACTGTTTGGTACACCGCGCGGTTTAGGAGTTGCGGAGGAAAGCTAATAGGAAAAAGTTGGAATATCGTTTCGTGACTCCTTTAACATACGTCTGCAAAAAGCTGCTTGCGAAACAGCCACACTGTTGTGGGCTCAGATACCTTAAAGCATTATTTTCACAAATGGCTGGTGTTTTTCTCTGTAAACATTAAAAAATTGTGCGTGTTTGATGTCCTCACTACCAACTATCACAAGCACGGGGGAAGACAGCAATCACTGCAGGAAGCTTTCCAAATCTGTAAACTGTTTGTTACACTGAGATGGCGAATAAAGCCAATGCGCACTACAGGGCACTACTGTGTGGCGCTAGGCCCGGCAGGTACAAAAGAGACGAAGCTTACAACCAATTACTAATTTAACCCCATGATGTGCCGTCGTACCGAATACAATATGTGGTTGTACACCGTGAACGGGTTGGTTCCCTTTCTGAACAAGCGGGCAGTTTGCTCACTTCTGAAGGTCTATTAGGCAACAGCTGCCGACACCAGTGCTCGGTGCACTTGCAGTACTGTAGATAAAGACAGTGATGCATAGTCAATGAGATCTTACCTTAATATACGCGTAAACGCATGATTGTTGATGGACGATGCTCGGAGAGCGGACGACATAGCCAGCGCCATTTTGGGCATTGGATGAATGGATGCATGAATGACTCTAATGGATGAATAAATGTTAACGGCAATTTGTAATATTCATAAAGGGCGGTAGCTTGCGCCACCTACTCCAAAAATTTAAAAACAAAATTGGCAGCGACTTTTATGTTTAAAGTTCTACAATACAAGAAATACAGTGCTTAAAAAGTAATAATTTTAATTCTTTAAGGGACTATATGCTGTCTTGTATAGTATAGGTCAAGTCACGTCGTGTCAGGTGACGTCAATCTTTCCGCTAAACTTAGCGGGAAAACGTCGTTGCACGTGACGTCAAGTTATATATATTAATTTGTCCGCCAAATTTAGAGGGGAATCTGAATTCGTCTATAGGTCACGTGACATCAGGCCACATGACATTATTTTGCTGCCAAATTTAGCAGGAAAACTGAATTGGTGTTTGGGTCGTTTGGGTAATGTGACGCCGATTTTCCCGCTAAACTTAGCTGGGAAACTGATAGCGAGTTTGTTTCACGGCACTCGTACTCACACGCGCCCACTTGCAGCGTGGAGCTGGTTCGTTTCAGCCGGCACTCCACGAGTGGTTGCACTCCCCGAGTTCGTTTCAGCGATGGCACACCACAAGTGCGGTGGAGTTCATGCACTCGCTGCACCGAGAAAATCGGGAGTGCGCCAAAATGCAATCCCGTCATGCCTCGCTCCGGCGAGGAGCGGGAGCAGACGACGAGGGTTCGTCTGCTACGTCTGCTACGATGTGTCGCGGAACCGAAAGGAAAAAAAAGTAGATTTTCTGATAGAAATCGCGTCCCGCAGGCAACGGAATCAAATGTGAGCTTGAATTGCAGGTGTCTGTTATTTCATGAAGGAAGCAATTGACAAACTGTGCTTCATTTGCATGTTTTAAGTCGCTCTGCTGCCGTACAGACGCCGAAATATGCCATGGTGCGAAGAACAAACGCATCAGCGGCCCCCGAGATGTTTATCACCATCCGTGTGCGGGTGAAAAATTAAACATTTGTCGACCAAACTCCTCCAGTAGAAACCTGTGACTGCCCAATAAGCATCAGAGAAAGTTAAACATAGTGACTTTACCCTAGGCTTGAGCAACATTTTCCTGTTTAACATTTACTTACGTCAGCTAACTTGCCCTGTCGTATTTCGTACAAGAAAGCTCTCGTTCTCGACGCCCTCGCCAAGTCTAATATCTGATCCACCTGTAGTGACGATCGACATCGAAAGTCCCACGAAAAGTTTTGCTGGCTGTTTCAACAAACTAGTTTTAAGCCGTACCCTTTTAGTGGTTCACGCATAATACCATGCTCAAACGAATCAAGCTTCTGCTCGGACAGCATCATCAATTTTCTTCAATGTAAGCGGTTATAGAGATCGCAACCAGCTGCTTTGTAGACAGCTGGTTGCGGAAATTTACGCCGTCTGTAACTATCTCTTCGACAGCCGAGTTGCTTGAAGTCATCGCAAATATAAACTACAGGTTGCAGCGACCAACGTTTGTAGATAAACGTTGGTAGCGCCTGCACTCTCGCATTCACACTCATCACTCCGAACAGAAATGCACTAGTTTCGGTTTAAAGTTGGTACCTTTTTTGCAACATAGATGGCGGGAGCCTCAGTCTTCTGCACTATTCCACTCGGTGCATTTGGCGTGTTCGTTTGAGTCCAGTTCTCCGTGCAACACTCTGCGAGCGCGATGCATTCTGGGAGAGAACTCGAACTCGAACCCATTTCCCCGCTAAATTTAGTGGGAAATGTACGAACGGACGGACCAGATTTTGGGATTGGAGGCAGCGTTAAAAACATTTAATGATTCACCATGATTCCTTTCCACATTACCCTTACATATCTATTGTAAATCTTTTCCTTTCTTGGCCCCTCCAAGCCAATGGACCTTTTCCGAGACGCATTCTGCGCACGCGCGAGCGCCCGATGCCTAGCGGCGGAAGTCGGCATGACTTCCGCCGCTTGGGGAAAGAAAATCACGGCGTTTGGGTCGTGTTTTTTTTCCCCCTCTTTAAAGTCCTGTTCGGCACTCGCAGCAGCTCAGAGAGCGAAGAAACTGGTAGCGTAGCTCCCATTATCGATTGGTAGCGCGAGTAGGTCACTTCCTCTGTAGGGTGCAACGCACCCACAGGTCCATTCTTCTCATGAAAATAAAAGAGATGGCTCGAGGCGCAGCACGCGCACGCGCCTCGGAGAGCGCGTGCAAGAGAATGCTCTGAAGCCGCCATCACAGGCAGACACGTCGTTCGCTTGTCTCGTTCTATGTCCTCACTTTAAATAACGTGGCAGGGCCTCGCGGCCCCCCACATATTTGGTGACCCGGTCGAGGACCATGGACAACGGCGAACCCCAAAGAGCAGCAGCCGGATCCCCGGCTTCCATCTCATCGGTTGCAGTCCGACTTCCGCCGTACTATGACAGAAACCCGAGGGTCTGGTTCCTGCAGGCTGAGTCCCAGTTTCATCTCAGCGGTGTGACGAGCCAGGAGAGCAAGTATCATCATGTCGTCTCGGCGCTGTCGCTGGCAGCAGCCGACGAAGTATACGACATCCTTGCGCAACCGTCGGCCACAGCTTCCTACGACCAGCTGAAGGCGGCTCTCCTGCAGAGAACCGAGGCATCAGATCGCTCCCGCCTTCAAGAACTTCTTTCGGCGGAAGAACTCGGCGATCGACGTCCGTCTCAGCTGCTAAGGCGGATGACTCAGCTCCTTGGAGATCGCGCCAACACGGTCGGCGACGCTCTGCTGCGGGAGCTATTTATTCAGCGCCTCCCAACCAACGTCCAGATGGTGTTGGCCACCGCTACGGCTCTCGACCTCACAGGCCTCGCAGCCCTGGCAGACGCCGTTATTGAAGTTGCCACTACACCCGTCGCCAGCGTTACATCGGCGGCAGAAGACGGAAGTGATCGAAGCTATGCCTGCCCCGCCAGGCACTCCATCGTTTGACGGCAACCTCGAGCGGCTTTGCCAGCGGTTGGAAGAGAGTGTTACCGCGGCAACTCACCGGCGAGATCGTCCACGCACTCAACAACGACGTGGACGTTCAACATCTCGTTGCAGAAATGCTGACCGTTCCCGCTCCGCAAGTTCAGCGGACGTCTGCGTATACCATCGTCGCTTTGGCTCCGACGCTCGGCACTGCCTTCGTCCCTGCTCCTGGAGCAAACCGATAGAGGCAACGAGTAGTCAGAACCTACCAGGAAGTCGCCTATTTTACATCGCCGACAGGACTACGGGAACCCGTTATCTCGTCGATACCGGGGCCGAGGTAAGCGCTGTTCCTGCAAAACGCGCGGATCGATCACAGACGCCCATCTACTACCTTCGGGCTGTGAACAACTCGTCGATCCCCGTCTACAAGGAACGGTCCATCACCATAAATCTTGGCCTCAGACGAGTCTACCGATGGGTATTCCTGGTCGCAGACGTAGGCAACGCGATCATCGGCGCTGACTTCCTACAACACCACAGCCTCCTTGTAGACGTCAAGGAGAGACGTCTGCTCGACTCCACAACGCGACTCTCCGTGCAAGGCGTCTCAACAAATGACACCGCAGGATTCGCGTCAGTCTGCTCTAACATCGACGGGCCATTCCGACCTCCTCTCCAGGATTTTCCAAGCCTCACGCGAGCTCCTGACTGGACCAGACCGGTTTCGCACGATGTCCACCATCACATCGAAACAACGGGCGCACCGGTTCACTTCCGACCCCGTCGTCTGGCTCCAGAGAAACTCCGCATCGCTCGCGAAGAATTTGAGCACATGCTCGAGCTTGGAATTATCCGACCTTCGTCAAGCAGCTGGGCGTCTCCCCTACACATGGTGTCCAAGAAGAACGGAGATTGGAGACCGTGTGGCGACTATCGCGCACTGAACAAGAGCACAGTGCCCGATAGATACCCCCTCCCAAACATTCAGGACTTTACTGTCAACCTCCAAGGCGCGACCATTTTTTCGAAAGTTGACCTTACCCGCGCGTACCACCAGATCCCAGTCGCTGACGAAGACATCCCAAAGACAGCTATTACAACTCCGTTTGGTCTGTTTGAGTTTCTCCGCATGCCCTTTGGCCTCAGTAATGCGGCTCAAACATTCCAGAGATTCATCGACGCTGTCACGCGCGGGCTTCCCTTCGTATTTGCCTACGTTGACGACTTGTTGGTCGCTAGCTCGACAAAGGAGGAGCACACCAACCACCTCCGTCTTCTTTTCCAAAGACTCTCAGACCACGGCATCATCATCAACGCCGCAAAAAGTGAGTTTGGGAGATCAGAACTCGAGTTTCTGGGACATCGACTGGACCGACACGGCATCAGACCTTTGCCGTCGAAAGTGCAAGTGATCAGGGACTTTCCAAGACCTAGCTCGATCACAAAGCTTCGCCAGTTCCTCGGCCTGGTAAATTTTTACCGACGGTTCATTCCGAACTGCGCGAGGCTACTCCAGCCTCTTGATTTTCTACTAGCAAAGACTGCACGTGCCACTACCAACCTGCCTTGGAGTGAAGACGCGGAGCAAGCCTTCTGCGAAGTAAAGACTGTACTTGCAGACGCTGTACTTCTGCGACATCCACAACACGATGCCAGAACCTCGATCATGACAGATGCTTCAGCTACGGCTGTTGGGGCGGTCCTACAACAACAGGTGGACGGTGAATGGCAGCCCCTAGCTTTCTTTTCCAAGAAGTTAAAGCCCGCCCAGACCCGCTACAGCGTCTTTGGAAGAGAACTGCTCGCAGCGTACTTGGCCGTCCGGCACTTTCGACACTTTGTCGAAGGTCGCCCCTTCGTCATCTGGACGGACCATAAACCACTCACCTACGCCATCCGCAACTCAAGCTCTGTCTATACCCCTCGAGAGATCCGACAGCTGGCCTTCTTGTCGGAGTTTACGACGGACATCCGGCATATCAAAGGGAAATCAAACGTCCCCGCTGATGTACTGAGCCGAATTGACGCCGTACCTTCGCCTGCTCCGCAACTCGACATCACGTTGCTGGCTCGTCATCAGGCATCCGACGAGGAGCTACAGCAGCTCCGCACATCAAACAACTCTCTCCAGCTAGAGGATGTTGAGTTCCCAGGAGGCATCACCATCGTCTGCGACACGTCCACAGGAACGCATCGCCCATTCGTTCCGATGGCGCTACGAAGGCCGCTCTTTGATGCCATTCATTCGTTGTCGCATCCCGGCGTGAAGGCAACACAGAAGCTAGTGGCCAATCGCTAAGTTTGGCCTCGGCTGAAGTCCGACGTGCGTGACTGGGTGCGGACCTGCTTGGCATGTCAACGAGCCAAGGTTCACCGTCATTCCGTGCCTTCATCCACGAGCTTCCTGCCACCAGATGCCCGTTTCGACAAGGTCCACATCGACCTGGTCGGACCCCTTTCGACATCTCAAGGGCAACGATACATCCTGACCTGTATCGACCGCTTCACAAGGTGGCCGGAAGCTACACCATTGCCCGACATGACTGCAGCCACCGTCGCCGAGGCATTCGTCTCGTCCTGGGTGGCGCGCTTCGGATGCCCATCTGAAATCGTCACCGACAGAGGGCGTCAATTCGAATCCAACTTGTTCACCGAGTTGTCCCGAATCCTAGGCATGACGAGATCTCGGACAACTGCATACCATCCGCAGTCTAACGGCCGGGTGGAACGTTTCCACCGACACCTCAAGTCCGCGCTCATGGCCCACGCGAACTCCAAGGAATGGGTACAACAGCTTCCACTCGTCTTACTCGGAGTTCGAACGGCGTTGAAGCAGGACCTCGGCTGTGCAACCTCTGAACTCGTCTATGGGACGACCCTCCGATTACCATCGGACTTTTTCGAGGTCGACCCGTCTCCAAACACGAGGCCAGAAGACTACGCCACAAAGCTGAAGGAGGTTTTTGCAGACCTACGACCAGTTCCTACGCGCGCGGTATCTGCCAAGACTCCTTACGTCTCTCAGGACTTGCACAGTGTCAAGGAAGCCAAGCCAAGCAAAAGACACTGGACTGTCGAGAAAGCCAAGCCGAGCTAAAGCCACAGACAGAGATCCAGCAATGGCGTAGCCAGTGTAGCAACATGTAATCCGCTCACTAATCGAATCAATAAACATCGTTTTCTGACATGGTGACAGAAGCGGGATCTACCAAGAAGAAGAAAGAAGAACCTCAGCAGAAACGATACAGCCACTGATTCGAGCGACGGAGCGAAGAAGACGCCGTTAAAACAATACAAACAAGCCGACGCACGTGAGCGCCGATTCCGAAACTATGGAAGGTGGTCTAAAGACGCCGAGGCCTCTTGATCTGTCGTCGCAGTCGCCAGACGTTTGGGACGACTGGCTTCAGAGCTACGAATGGTACGCAACAGCGATCCAGTTACAGAAGAAACCTCCCGAAGTTCAAGTAGCGAACTTCATGACTGTCATCGGCCCAGACGCACAGAACGTGTTCCGAACGCTCCCACTGAGCGAAGACGACAAGAAAAACCTGGACATCGTAAAGCAACGGTTCAAAGAGCACTTCCACCCGAAGGTCAACCCCACCTACGAACGGTACAGGTTCAATCAAATGAAGCAGAAAGAGGGCGAGACTTTCAACGAGTTTCTGACGGCCGCAAGGCTACAAGCAAAGAAATGCAAGTTCGGTGAGCTGACTGATGAACTACTACGCGATCGCATTATCGTTGGCATCACCAATGACGATGTCAGAGAAAGACTGCTAAGCGACCCGACTGTCGACCTGCAGAAAGCCGTGAATCTCTGCAAAGCGAGCGAACAGGCGTCACAGCAGCTCAAAGAAATCGTAAACAAAGAAACGAGGACCGTCGACGCCGTCACGAAGAAGACAAAGCAGCTACCGAGAAAGAAGACTGTCGCGGAGACAAAAGAGCAAGCGCCAACGAATTCGGGAATGGCAAGAAAAGCATGCAGCTTCTGTGGAGGATTTCACAGACCAAAAGAATGTCCAGCGTATGGCAAGACGTGTAACAAGTGCCAAAAGAAAGGACACTTTGCTGCAGTGTGCCGATCAAGCAGAAGTATGGTGCAACACAAGGTCCATGCCATCGACAACCACGAAGACCCTGAAGAAGAAATGTATGTGTCGGAGCTGAGAACCAAGACAAGCAAGACGGTGTGGCAAGAAGAGATCCAGTTCAAGTGTGGAACTAAAGTTGTCATGAAACTGGACACAGGAGCGCAATGCAACGTCCTCCCAAACAAGAACGTCCAAGCCATGAGACTACAAGTGTTTCCTTCGCCAGTCAAAAGAATCGCAACATACAGCAATCACAAGATGCAAGTGATCGGTGAGGTGAGAGAAGCATGCACTGTCCGTGATGAGCCGGCGAAACTGAAGTTTTTCGTCGTGAACTCTGACGTGACACCAGTTCTGGGTCAGAACGCATGCGAGCTCCTCAACCTCGTGAAGAGAGTGCACACAGTCCAAGCAACGCAAGAAGATGACGAAATATTTCAAGGCATCGGTTGCATCAAGAACTTTGTCTATGATGCCGATGTCAAAGAGGAAGCAAGCAAGAAGCTGGAAAACAAGCCACCAAGAAGGGTCCCATATGCACTTATGGATGAAGTCAAGCAAGAGCTCACGAGCATGGAACAGAAAGGAATCGTCGAAAAAATCACAGAACCAACTCCATTCTGCAGTGAAATGGTTGTTGTGAAGCAGCGAGGAAAGATCAGGATCTGCATCGATCCAGTGGAACTGAACAAAGTTCTTATAAGACGAAACTATCCTCTCAAGACTTTGGAAGAAATTGTTGCGCATGTCAGAGGATCCAAGCGGTTCACTCTGCTAGACCTCAAGAAAGGATTTTGGCAAATGCAAGTGTCAGAGCGCACCAAAAAGTATCTAGCCTTCAGCACTCCGTGGGGCAGGTACTGCTTTAAGAGAGTTCCATTTGGCATAGCCACAGCACCGGAAGTTTTTCAACAAGTCATCAGCAGAATCCTGGAAGGGATTCCGAACGCCGTCAACTCCATGGACGACATCCTGGTGTATGCCGAAACAAGCGAACAGCTGCAAGAAACTACAAAGAAGGTCATGGATGCTCTGAAAGAAGCTGGCACTAAACTCAACAAAGACAAGTGTGTCTTTGACAAGCCTGCAGTCAAGTTTCTTGGTCACGAAATCACTGCAGAAGGACTCAAGATCGACCAAGAAAAGGTAGCCGCCATCGACCAGTTAAATGAACCAAAGAACAAGACCGAGCTACAGAGACTGCTAGGGATGATCCAGTATCTCCAGAAGTTCGTGCCCAACCTTGCGGACAAGACTGCACCACTGAGAAAGCTCATCACCAAGGACACTGAGTACCTGTGGACAGAGGAACAGAGCAAGGCACTGACCGAAATCAAGCAAGCGCTGAAGAGTGCACCAACACTCGCATACTACAACGTTAATGGTGCTATGACCCTTTCAGTGGACGCAAGCTCAAAAGCCCTAGGAGCTGTTCTCCTACAAGAAGGAAAGCCTGTTGCCTACGCCTCAGCAGCAATGACGGAAGCACAACAGAACTACCCTCAGATCGAGAAGGAGGCACTAGCGATCCGATACGGCTGCCGGAAATTTCACCAATATATCTATGGAAGACCTCTAACCATCGAGACTGACCACAAGCCGATCGAGAGCATCGCAAAGAAGCCGCTGAGCAAAGCCCCTCCTCGACTACAAAGACTTCTCTTTGACGTACAGCAGTGCGCACCAGCAATCGTCTACAAGAAAGGAACAGAACTCGTGATCGCAGATCTACTGAGCAGAGACTGCATCAAGAACGAGTCGGCAGGTGCATATACAGATGACATACAAGTGATGGCAATTGTACCCATGTCACCTGAAACAATGGAAGAACTAAAGAGGGACATTGCCCAAGACAAAGAAATCCAAGAAGTGATCCAAGCCACGAAAGAAGGATGGCCAAGCACCACAAGAGGGCTCAGTGACCCAATGAAGCTGTATTGGTCATTTAGGGATGAACTTGCTGTGTATGAAGACATGTTGTTCAGAAGCGATCGGATAGTCATTCCGAAAACTTGGAGAAACAGACTGCTCGTCCTGATCCACGCGGGACATCTAGGCATAAACAGTTGTCTAAAGAGAGCCCGCGAGACTGTATACTGGCCAGGGCTAACGACAGACATCAAATGCTACGTGGAAAGATGTGCCACATGCCAAGCAACTGACAAGAAACCAGCGAGAGAGCCACTTCATCTCAAAGAAATACCAGACCTCCCGTGGGAAAGAGTAGCATCAGATCTCTTCAACTTCGAAGGAAAGTCCTACGTTGTCATTGTCGACAGCTACTCTGGATACCCGCCGCCTCGGTGGCTCCGAGGCGAGAGCGTCGGCCTACGGATCCCCATGTGGCGGGTTCGAATCCCGGCCGAGGTGCCCGCAATCTGACGGAGGCTTATTGCGGAGAAGACGCCGTGTAACCGAGCTTTCGGTTGCACGTCAAAAGATCCCCAGGTGGTCGAAATTAATCCTCAGTCCTCCGCTGGGGCGTGCCAGATGCCCATCGTTGGTTTGGCACGTAAAACCCCCAAATTTGACTTTTACTCTGGATACCTAGACTTCAAGAAGCTCTCAGGAGAATCGTCAAAAGAAGTTGTAAACGTCATGAAAGAGTGGCTAGCAACTCATGGCGTCCCCAAAGTGATTGAAACAGACAACGGTCCCTGCTACGCAGCACAAGAATTCAAGAACTTTAGCAGAGACTGGGGCTTCCAGCACGTGACTTCAAGTCCGAGGTATGCGCAGTCAAACGGTCTTGCCGAACGAGCCGTTCAGACTGGAAAAGGGATTCTCCGAAAATGCTCTCTGGATGGAAGCGACATACAAATGGCCCTCCTCAGTTTCAGAAACACGCCAAGGAGTGAAGAACTGGGTTCACCTGCACAAAGACTGTACAGCAGGAGGACAAGAACTCCAGTTCCCACACACAACAAGCTACTAAAGCCCGAAATAATCCAAAGCGTGCCGGACAAGCTGCGTCACGAGCGCAACCAGCAGAAGGCTTACGCTGACCAGCACTCCAAACGAGCCCCTGCCATGGCCCCAGGCGATAAAGTCAAAGTTTGGGAAGAAAACAGGAGATGGGTTCCTGGAACAGTCGTACGTCTTTCGGAAGAACCTCGGTCTGTGATAGTACAGACGCCAAAGGGACAGTACCGTCGCAATACGTCCTTTGTTCGTCCGACTAAGGCTGAGCTACACCACGCTGCAAAAACTCATACTACCAGCATCGAGCCACATGCGCCACAGCCTGTGACCGACAGCCGAGTATGCCCCAGCCCCCAGCGAGAGAACCCGGCAGACTCAACCACCGTTACCAAATCAGGTCGCATAATCAAACCAGTCGTCAGGCTTGATCTCTAAACGAAAAAAGGGGGATGTCAAGGAAGCCAAGCCAAGCAAAAGACACTGGACTGTCGAGAAAGCCAAGCCGAGCTAAAGCCACAGACAGAGATCCAGCAATGGCGTAGCCAGTGTAGCAACATGTAATCCGCTCACTAATCGAATCAATAAACATCGTTTTCTGACACACAGTGCAACGCATGTGTTCGTGCGCCAAACAGCCAGACGGAAACCGCTCCAACCACACTATATGGGACCGTTCCCGGTTCTGGAAAAGAAGCCAAGTGGCTTCGTTGTACAGATCAATGGACGACGAGACACCATCGCTCTCGAGCGTCTAAAGCCAGCCCATCTCGAGCACGCACCCGTGAACCTCATCACATGTGAGACGCGCGAGGAAAGTCCGAAGTGTCGCAGGAAGTCTGCTCAAGTTCATTGGACAAACTCATGGCCAGAGCTAGCGCCCTAATTGTGTGTTGTCGTTGTTCTTTTCGTTTTCTTTAATCGCTCGTCGGGGCTCCTCGCTAAGGGGGGGCATATCTGTAGGATGCAACGCACCCACAGGTCCATTCTTCTCATGAAAATAAAAGAGATGGCTCGAGGCGCAGCACGCGCACGCGCCTCGGAGAGCGCGTGCAAGAGAATGCTCTGAAGCGAACGACGTGTCTGCCATCACAGGCAGACACGTCGTTCGCTTGTCTCGTTCTATGTCCTCACTTTAAATAACGTGGCAGGGCCTCGCGGCCCCCCACACCTCGATTTTTAGTTCGTGCAGCCACCGCCTGGTGCCGTCGGTATGCGGAAAAGGTCCATTTGCTTCCGCTGTGCAATTTTGTAACTTCACTAGACGGTGTGGGAAACCACCAAAATAACCTTTGAAAGATCGTAAAAGGAAAAAAGGATTAATAACATTATTTGTTGCTATTCCTCTGGTCAAACCTTGTCGGCGTTACCCTAACAACGAACTCGGTGGGAAATGGCTCTACAGGGTGTCACAAATGAAAATTTACACGGTCTTTTTTACCGCAAAAATAAACTAGGCATCGCCGAACGCTCATTCTCCGCCCAAAGGTAGAGCTAGAGGTCACAACCAGATGCCAAAGTTTCAGCCCGATCCGATTACTTAATCAAAAGTTATAACTGATTTTCTGAAAATTTCAATGGGAAAATGGAGCCCATTTTTGCTCGTTTTCGGTTTCTGGTGCCATAGAGCCCCATCTGTTCGAAAACTCCGTCGGCCACCATTTTCCCATTGAAATTTTCAGAAAATCACTTATAACTTTCGATTAAGTTATCGGATCGGGCTGAAACTTTGGCATCTGGTTGTGACCTCTAGCTCTACCTTTGGGCGGAGAATGAGCGTTCGGCGATGCCTAGTTTATTTTTGCGGTAAAAAAGACCGTGTAAATTTTCTTTTGTGACACCCTGTATATAACATGAGCGAAGGACGTTTTAGCGAACAGCGGCAATTTGAGCTAATCGACGTTTTAGCGAATTACAAAAGCGCGTGTTAGCCCTTCGTGTTCGATGGAGCAGCATCACGTCGGACACACCAATATTTTGTTAAAAAAGACGCGAAAAATAATTTCAAAACGAATTAAACGATTAGCAGAGAGCACCTGGTGGATGTTGCTAAAGCCTCGTTTGTAATGCCCGTCTAGGGACCTTGACAGGTATTGACGATAATTGTTTCGACGTCATCATGACAACTCTACGGCCAGTACAAGAGAAGGGGGGAGGGAGGAACTCCACTTTCGACGGAGCTCTCTTTTGTGTGTCCCAGACAGAGGTCGGCATTTTAGGTCGCCCTCACTCACCCTCACAGCCACACTCACCTAAGCCCCTCACTCACCCTCACCCTCACAGCTACACTCACCTTCAGCCCCTCACTCACCCTCACCCTCACAGTCACACTCACCTTCAGCCCTTCACTCACCCTCACTGAACCTCACGGCCCTCACGCACTCACCACCCTCACGGCCCTCACGCCCCTCACTCACTCATGGCCCTCACGCCACTCACCGCCCTCACGGCCCTCACCGCCCTCACGGCCCTCACCGCCCTCACCGCCCTCACGGCCCTCACGGCCCTCACCGTCCTCACAGCCCTCACTCACTCATAGCCCTCACGCCACTCACCGCCCTCACCGCCCTCACGGCCCTCACCGCCCTCACGGCCCTCACGCCACTCACCGCCCTCACGCCACTCACCGCCCTTGCGGCCCTCACACCCCTCACGCCCCTCACGCACTGATGGCCCTCACGCCACTCAGGCCAGCTTCAGATGGGGCAATTTCGCCCAGAAACTTTACGTCGCTACACCAGCAACGCGGGCCGCCCGCGATCACACGCAGCAACGAATTGCTGCAATTTGCCATCGTCATCATACAATTTTATATTTCTTGCACTATTTAGACACAATTACGCGTTATAAACGTGTTTTTATGCATTTAAATCTCGTTAAGAATACTAATGCACCTTTCTGAAACAGTTTATTTCCAAAAAAAAAACGATCGATTTCAAACCAGAACCAAGTCTTTCGGTGTCATCATCACCGGCACGAGGTATCACGTGAAAATTTTGCGTCCCTGATTGGATGCAGCCGCTTCAAACGCATTCGAATTGCTCCGAGTTGCATGGCCCTCACGGCCCTCACGGCCCTCACGGCCCTCACCGCCCTCACGGCCCTCACCACCCTCACGGCCCTCACGGCCCTCACGGCCCTCACCGCCCTCACGGCCCTCACCGCCCTCACAGCCCTCACGGCCCTCACCGCCCTCACAGCCCTCACGGCCCTCACGGCCCTCACTCACCCTCACACTCATGAATTTTCCTGGTTCAGAAACTCACTCACCCTCACCTCACCTGTGAAGATGAGGGTGAGTGAGGGTGAGTGAGGGCCCTCATGAGTGAGGTTTGCCGAGGTATGGTCCCAGAAGTCGCTATTCTCCCTCTACAAGGTTATAGAAGATTAACCCGTCACTCAAAATTCACACAAAAGCAGCTTAGCGGTTAGTTGCGATTGCTCGATCGCTGGCGTGCTTCGACCACTTCGGTAACTGGAACGGCTAGGGCATCCTGACGACGTCAGCCTCGCCGCAGCTTTACCCATCCCGAGACAAACTACGTCACGATTGCGCCGGATGTGACGTGTCTCCGCTCGCTGCTCTCCGAGCGCTTGCCAGTGTGGGCCGTTTATAACGAAAAATACAGCCGTCAGAGTCAAAATACAAACGTGCGATTGTCATTTACGGATATTGCGAATCATATTCGGCCTATTTCGTTGAAGTTTCTGAGCCACGTAGAACACTACAATCAACCCAAGAAAGCAGGAGAGAAAAATATACAAATCAAAGGCTTGAAAATACAATAGGGCGCCATTATTGGTATTGATCGCGGAGACGCGACCTTCTTTTTTTTTTATGTACTTGGTTTTGGGCTCAATTTAGTACTGCAGTCAAAGGCGGACGCAGCTGTTTTTAGTGCTGGGGTAGGCAGCGATATTTCAGAAAACACCTGTCCCCCCCCCCCCCTCCCCCCCTTTTCCCGGCCCAAATTTGCCAGATTCGCAATTCAGGGGGGGGGGGGGGGGGGTCAGGAGATTTTGACCCCCCTCTGAATCTGCCACTGACAGCAATGATTTCCCAGTGTTCCACCATTGGTTTTGAAAACTGATAATGTTTGTTCTTCTTTTTGCTTTCTTTTGAAAATGCATGCATCAGCGTTTCAAAGGGATGTTTCAAATACCTTGTATAAAGTTTTATGTTTTGGGCTATTTGGGCGATCTTTATAGCCCGACATTTGGCTATTTTTTGGGCTCCTATATCTCACAATTATTTGGCGGGTTAACCTAAGAGTACCTGGCAACCGTGAATAGCAGACAACCCTGCCTGAGCTCTCTTTTTATTGCTGCTGGCTCAGTTGTTTCTGCGTCCCGTCTTATAACAACCTTATTACTTTGTATACCTGTTGTAAAAGCCTAATCTAATATGCATCTAAATAATATTACCTCAGGTGTACCAGTTATTTTTTTTTTACTTACAATGTCGTACGATTATTTTAATCTCTAAAAATGCTACCCATAAAGGTTATTTTACTCCCTGGGCGGCACCACTTTGTTCGACATCAGCGCCCTCTCCATACATCCGGGAAATTCAGCGGGTTCGGCGGGGTAAAACGAGAGAGAGGGCACGCGCCCGACTCCGCTAGCAGACGTCAAAACGGGAGGTTGCCATTCTCCATCTTTGGGCTGTATCGGCGGGCTGTACGGAACATGAACTCCCGCTCGTGGCTGCCGTTGTGAAGTGGTCCGCGTTCTTGGAATAGTTATGGCTACTCCAAAATCAGCCTAGAGCTCTCTGTTGTTCTACTTCGGTAAATGACCAACTGACATATCTTTTTTCCGTTACTTAAATAGCAGTTGAGTCAGCCGGCAGTACTACCCTCAACTACTGCGTGTATTGCGGCAGGAGGGCGCGTTTTTATTTATTATTTCAGACATCCACTCATCGTCGCTAAAGGCCTACACCAGTACGAACTTTGTATAGTAAAAAAAGGTACAGCAACCGGATTCACTTTTCGCCGGAGAGACCGGCCAGTC